ACCTATTATCAGCAGCTGTGCGCAAGGTGGTCGTTCGCCACTCACCGTGCTCATGCCCCAGATGAGATCCCCTGCTACCAGCTGCGAACAGCACCCCGGCCGGACTCGTGGGAAAGGCCGAACCAGGGTTGTGTTTCACTGCCATCCGAGGTCAGCATGGTGTCTGGTGGCTGAGGAGTGGTAGAAACTTGCCGTAGATATAGTCTGGTATCAGTATAGGCAAGCCGGAGATGAGCTAGCGGACGTCGGCTCGATCCCACGTGCACGAGGGTCCGGGAACACTCTGTACTAGGGGGGAATGGATGTAGCTATACCTGCCAATGCACGACTCTGGGCAGATCTTCAACTGTGTCAGGGCAAATTACTACTGGACGAGAGTTTCATGTTATTTTGTTTGCGACAAACTTCGCCCCGATCTGACAATGACTGCTCTCGCAGCGAGGGGTCTAGGGTAGATCTAAGCCACGGCCTGTCTTATCGCTTGCTCAGCTGCAATCAGGGGTTGAATATCTGGCCTTAAGACTATTGCCAATAGCTCGTTTCAATTTGCTGATTGATGCTCCTCGGGGAAATAGTTGTCTTTTTCTGTGGCTGTCGATTCTCGGCTCCTCTTCGTTGTCGCGGATGCTCTGATGGCTCGCTCGGTCAACAGTGAGGCCGGCTCATGGCCACCGACAAGCCTTCGGATCGGATGTGGGGCAGGGGGTTCATAGCCGTCAGAATATTGCGAGTTACTAATCCATTGACTGTCAACCTTTGCCTGGATAGGGTAATGCCGGAGAGACGAATGAAGACACTTTGGAATTTTACCATATGGCTAATCAGAGGGCATCAGGCCTTCCTGAATTGGGCTTGCTTACTGCGCCAGGCGAAGTGGCCGTGTCAACCACGTCTTCAGAAACAACAAAGACGCAAGCGTAGTGAGATTCAGTGGCTTGGCCCATCAGGTTGTTGCAGCTGGTTTAGTTTCGAGGACGAGGGGAACATAGCTCGGTCAGGTCGAGTGTAAAATTGAAGCTCGCCCTATGACGAAAAAGAATCATAAGCGATATTTTCTAAGGAACGGAGAGCTACGAACGGAAAGCGTTCGTTTTGAGATTGAAAGTGCAGTACCGGGCGTTGGGAATGGGCAGGGGCAAAGCACCAGCGTGACTTACAAGACATTGAGCGACTCGCGATAGAAAGTTTGCCATCCTATATAGAGGGTCGTCAGCACATGGTATCTGCTTTTAATTTTGCCGTAGTTTTTGAACTTACATTGTCGGTTCTTGCTGTCCGCCGCAGGAGACTGTATCAAGGATGACATCTATCTATCATCAATCATCAGTAGGCAGTTCATGAAGACAACTTATAACTCACTGTGCTCGCAGCTTGGGCTATTCGGGATCCAGAAAGGTTCGCTCAATGGGTTATTCGAGGAGAAGCGGAAACGGGGCTGGTATCGAGCATCTTCCGACTTAGCATGATTCTAAATGACTGGGAAACAACACTCACTTGCTGTCTGAAGACTCTATTGATGAGAAAGACTAGGCCATTGCGATATAAAAGGCCAGCTTATTTCACTGCATGATTTGGAGGTCAATCCATACCAGAGTAGCCGCGAAGACGAATCACGATCGACATTCTTTGATTTAAAATCACAAAGGAATGCTTGCGAACGACTCTTCAGCCGGCGAGGGATCGGGTATTTATAATTATCCAGCCAGGCATTCAGTCTGCGTCAATGAGATCACCATTGTGAATTGTGAGGGCTTAAACACAAACTACTCTTAAATTGCAGCCAGTTCAACGTTTGGTTATTCATCTGGCACAACATTCGAACACAACATTCGGAGACATCCACTTTTCCTGGCGACTCGATATATGCAAGTCCTTTTACCACTGTTGGCACAGTTTCAACAGTGGTGAGCATGCCGCAGGAAAGCATCGATGATCCATTTCAACATTCACCGCCATGGGCTCGTAAGTTATTGCGATAGGTGAGACGATTACATATCACACCATTCCATTTCACCCACCAATGATGACCACAATACCCTACCCAATGAACACCTCATAAAAGGCAGACAAAAACCGTGCCATATTGCGGCCCTGGATCTCCAGCCAAAGGGGAGGGTTAGTTATTGCCTACCTCGTATATCGGAGAAAAGGAAGCACACCTACACAATATCAAGTAGATGCAAGCTACAGTACGGCGCGGGACTGATTCACACAGCCCCACCTCACAACAGAGTCCCTTGAATAGTGGGTTACATATCAGGTCGATTAATTTTTCGTAGAACAAACCTCTGCGATCAGCCGCGTCTTTGCAAAGGCATTATCCACTCCAATCTCCTGGGAGCAAAGTGGATGGGGAAAGTGAGTACTACAACAAGGAATTATAAGCCAATTAGTGCTATCAATGGCTCACATGCGCGCAAGTCGACTATGAAATGATTGGTGGATACTCGGCCATGGCTCCCAGGAGCCCGTGGGTCGTAAATATCGATGCGATCATTAGATACTAATAATAGATCGGAGGAAGAATGAGCCAATCAGTGCTATTAATGACCCACGTCTGCCACAAAGCCCCCGTAGAAATGATTGGCCCAAATTTGGCTGTGAGCTCCTGGGAGCCTGAGCCTACCATAGCACCTCCCATAATTGGATAAGGCTGATACAATTATGTCCACAATGTACCCACGTCTTCTCTCCTTTGAACCCGAGACAGAGACGACATTAAGAATTGGCCGTTGAAACTCAGGCGTAGTCTTTGCGAATATATTCAAAATACAAGAACTTTGAGTAGACCAGGTCACAGTATATCGTAATATTCATGGAAGATTCAATCGGAGTATAAGACACACAGCCGGATCGGGTTTCTTACGAGAACCATACTAGAACTTGTGGTTCAGAAAGTTTACTTTACTGTATCAATTACGAATGAAATTGAAATGAGATACTGTAGTTAGTATCTAGAGTTTCTGGTGACAGTGTCTCATGCTCATCAAATAAGATGTTATTTCCTGCGCAAATAGTTCATTCACCATCAGCGTCCGGACCCCTGCTGCTTTTTTGGCCTGATCCAGCTCTTCCATCGTCCTATCGTACGCATAGTACAAGGTCCATGAGTAACTGCGCAGACATTCGAGTTCCGAAACGAGAGTTTTCCGATCTTTTTCAAGCAGCGATATCTGCTCCTTGATTTGGCAAAATAAATGATAGAAACGTGCCCTCTCTCGGTACCCTCTTCGATCGTCAGGCAAAGCTATTCAGACTTAGTAAGAATGTCGTGATGATGCACAGTGGACTCACTATAGTGCCCGGAATGACGATCAGAAACGGGTGCTGTGGATGAGGCGTTTCTAATTGTGGTTATTTCGCAGGATTCCTTTGCAGCTCAACTCTACTCAGTTGTCAAATGGGTTATAATTGCCACGGATTCGAATGTACCTTGAGTATTCATACATTGGTTGACGAATTGCTGGGCATTGTGGTTCGGCGTGCTTCTATAACTTGCTCCCAGGATCAAGTTTTGTCTTGTGACGGCGTAAAGGCGATCGAAGAGCTAAACTAGGCCAGAAAGTAGCAACGATATGAACGCTGATGGTGAGAAAACTACTTTTTGTGCAGAAGAAAAAGCCCTGTTTGTGGCCATAGGGCGCTTGTACCAGAAACTTCCCTCGTAGCTACTACAGTGCAAGTCTATCTTGGATCACAAGTTCTGACAACCTTGAACTTCAGAAAATGCTCTTTCAGCTATTTGCACTTCTAAAATTCAGAGACCAAAAATGACAGGGGTAGCTTCAAATCCCACCCTACTGCACAAGAAAACCAATCAGTATCCCCTCTCTCCTCAGAGTATTCGCAATTTCTTAAATATCCATGCGCGTTTTGCACCCCTCATGGTTGCCCCATTCTCTTTGAGGTATGACCTGGTAGCTTCTAGATCCTTGCATTCAGTGCTGCCGGCATATTCCAACCAGGTAAGGGGTGACCTGTACATGTCATCGAGAGAGTTGATCTTAGCTCTTTTCTTCAGCAAAGCTTTGGCGGCTCTAAGAGAGCCATACTCTGCGGCCCAAGAGAGTGGTGTGCGCTTGTTTTGGTCAAGATCATCAACCGGAGTACCGAGGTCCAGCAGCCTTTCAAGAAGCGTGACGCAATCTCCCATCGCAGCGAAATGAGCGAGGGACCTCTTATACGGGCCTATGGGGTTATATATGCCCCTCGATTGGATCTTGCTGCGTGTTTCATCAAGGTAAATACGGATGTCATTGTTTAACTTGTTCTCCGAAAGCTCTTTCATGAGCTCGAATTCCTTGTCAATAATCTCCATGGTAATGTGGGAAGACATGTGATTTGTTTCAAGTTTTAATGGAGTCGGTACTGACGGCAGAATTGATACAATATGCTAGACGGCGCTGAAACTAAGATCAATCATCTATATGTCTTAATTTTATGTCTTAATATGATTGGTACCCAGATTTTGATGTTAACATTCGTCATCACCTTTTTGCATTTCTGTGCCTGTCAATCAACCTTCTTCCTTTCTAAAATGGTGCCTGATTCTGGAATGTTGAAATGCCTCTCTAATCAAAGACCTGAGTTGAGTGACTTATTTACAGCAGGTGTTTATCAACGACAAAAAGTTTGTCCCCGGGCAATCCATTCAAAAGCAAAAGCTTTCGGAGGCCGGAATAATAGTGGAAAGGTCAAATTGACCGTGGAAGAACATCGCCTACGAAAGACGAGTCTCTCTTAATTGATCTTCGGGGGAATAGTCATTTGTTATAGAAGGAAAGAGACATCCCTAGTACTGTAGACGTCTAACTTGAAATTCAGATTATTTTCAGAGGGAATGGCATATGGGTAGACAATTTTGAGCTAAACATTAGGGATACCTTGCAGCAATTAAGTTGACCTCGCTCGGCTTCGCCCATAAAACCCAATCACTGCATAGAAATGCCGAAGAGAGGCTTTACGTTGTGGGGTCGACGTGCGAGGTCACTAAAAAAACTTCAAGCTGATTCAATTCCATGTGTCAGGGTCTGCAGCTCATGTCGAATTCTGCGAGGGTGGCACCAAATTCTTCCTTGACTTTCTGGAATTCTTTTCAGGTATTCCGGAGCTCTTTTCTTTGTAACTAAATCATCCGGTCGTCTGATCTCTTGCCTGAGTTTTTTGGCGGCACTTGGGTCGTCGCTCTCTGTCGCCGACTCGTCGGAAATTGCTGCGTCACATTGGGTCCCTGGCTTGTTCTGGATTCTTTGCCTCTGTTGGGAGCGTGCCTTTGTCTGCTCGTTGTCGATCTCTTGCTCCCGAGCATAATTATTCGGCGGTCTGGTGGTGCGTCTCGGTCTCGACAATTGTGGCGGTGAATCTTCGCGTTCGTCGTGTTCGTCGCGGTCGGGCGGTTCAGGGTTCGCGTCGCGGTCCATCCCACCATTATTCAAAATCAATCCAGACAACTGACCGATATAGGGCCGCTTGAAATCAGAGTATTTCCCGCGTCTTCTCTTCCCGTACAGTCCAGAGCGATTCTAAATACTTGTAGACCTACCGAACTTACCTATAAAGCAGCACCAAGTCCTTGCTTGTTTCATGCCGCAGCCCCACAACAGATGGAGCAGCATTGAGATCGGGCACACCAGCAGCTGAGCCATGTAGGCGTTCCGAGAACGGGAAAGAGCGGCTTACAGTACGGTCCCAGTTCTCGATTCACAATACCGGCTGCAGGGAATGGTCTCAAAACCAGTCACTTTACCATACACCTAGCATCACCAAACAAAACACACATAACTATCTAAGCGTCGGTCGCACCTTAGATATTAGTTTCCACACCGTCTAGTTATACAATTTCTCTTATACATTCCAGTTCTGCGCAAGCCAGCGAGCCTCGGGGCTGCTTGCCATTGCTCGAGCTTGGGCTAGAACCCAAGCTCTAAGACTCTGAAGCCGAGACTGCTTAGAATTCCTGAATAAAACTTTCGTCCCGCTTTTAGAAGGCCGTGAATCTGTCTCGACCGCAGTCGGCTTGTACCCATGGGTTCCTGATTTTCTCACCCCGCAATACGGCGTATTTGAGGGTTTTCGAAATTTTGTAAGTCAAATACCCCACAGACATGAACGCCTGCTCTATAATAATCAGAATCTACTGACAACAATCTGGGTATCCGTTTAGCATAGTTCTTCTTGGCCAATACTTAAGCACTAGTATTGTACCATACGCCGCAGGAGAAGCCATTTGATAAACTCGGCATTGGCAGTGTTTTTTTCTTCCTCTATCCTCGCCCCAAGCCCAGGCAACATCTTATCCTTACTTCTACCTCGTTCGGTTCTGAATTTTTCTCCCCCCACCCTCTACTCTCGCTGTATGAGGTTCGTCTACGGTATGATCAAACGCGTTGGCCCCTGAAGTCCCTGGAATTTGTGCAGCATAAACGCAATTGGTCTGCGTGGAGGATTTGTCGACGTTAAAAACTACCACCCTGTGTTCTATATTGCCCCAACATATCATTGCCATTAAGCAGACCGGGATGTCGCAAACTCTTTCAGGACGGTCTGCTTCTTCCGATCTTACCCAGTTGTATCAACCTGTCTTCCAGATCGACAATGAGTTTCTACGCTTCGAGGTACCGTGTTATCCCTGGTGGGAAGATGAAGCTACTACAGTTCTCTGGGCATTCAAAAATCTCGAAATCTGCCTAGTCATTCGTTACGGTCTATTTTGCGATGAAAATATACCACGAAGCTCCCTCTTAAGCCGCAATGTTACCACAATTGATGCTATCTTTAAGGCGCTAATTGAACCGGGTGAACATCATCTGCTTGAAAGTCTCTCTCATGTGCAACGAGTGGAGGAAGTCTTGCGTCGATCAGGGCTTCCACCATTTCAGCCGGTCCCTTGGTCTTGGATACCTCAAGCTCCAGTGCATGCGCTCGACCCGCAGACCATCGCTCAGGCTATTGAGGCCGAGAGTCATTTCCAGCTCAGTAGAGTCGCTTTTGAAGACATCGTACGTGCCTCGCTGGGATACACGGCGAGTTCTGTCGAGTGGTTTCTCATGCAACACACAGCTTTGTATATGCACTTGTTAGATTTTCTTCGGATGTTTCCTGATGGAATTCCCGTGTACTTGGAGGTAGAAAAGGTAAAGTTGACTGTACCTGATACCAGACTTCAGTAGCTAATATGGCCTCAGCATCTACGGCGAAAGAGCCCCTTCGCCAACCGAGCGATAGCACAATGCCTAGCCGCAGTACAACCCGATCTTGCACCAGATCTGTTTGAGAAACCTATGAGTAGTTTTAAATTCGTTGCCGGCCCGATCCAACGCCTCTTTCAAGATCGACCGGAGAGTCTTACTAATATGCTTAAGATCTGCAATTTATTTGCTGTTCGGTTCCGCCACCAGTACATCAGTACCTCAAAAGTGCCCTGGGACAAAGAATTCGATATTTCATACTCCTTCTTTGAAGATTGTCTCGGATCATCTTCGCCACCTGATTTGGCTCGCACCCTCATTGCTCTAGACAAGAGAAATTTCGCCCATCTGACCCGATCAAGCATCATTGCACATGATGGGATCACAAAGCGTCTTTTAGCCAATTGGGAAGAACTAGCCAGGTCAGTATGGGAATGCTGTTCCGCAATCCCAGAATTGACCTTTGGCCTGCGAGAATGCGCACAGGTGAGTCGCTTCTCAGCAACAATGCGATAGTTCAGCCCCATATCTGACAGCGGAATATGACCCTGCAGAATCTCTTACAGCGACGAAATTACCACTCTTCAACAGCAATACTGCATGGTCTCCACAAACATAGTATATCGACTACACAGGCCCCCGGTATCAACAGTCCAGCTGGGAAAATTATCGTTCTAGACCCTCTTGTTCCACCAGACATGATATTCCTCTACGATGCAACACAAAACTACGCCTCATACCTTCAATACTACGGATATCACCCGGGAATACCATTTTTACTCCCGCATCTTCGCGATGTACAGCAAAAGGGGAATTGGCCCTTGAACCTGTCTTGCGCTTTCTGCAGGCATAAAAATTACTCAACCTGTTCCAAATATTTAGGGATTGTTTCAACTCAATTCGTCCCAGCCCATCATTCACGTTCTTCACTTAATTTAAGTGAAACATACCTGCTTGCCTTGACGTGGTGGTTTTCATTGCTGCAAGCGATCATGCTATCCCGGCATGCGCCATGTTAAACCTTTGTTTCTTATATATGTGCGCTACCTGCGATCTCATTCCAGATAACGGGACAGCCACTATCACTTTTCTTCAAAAATTTCAGTATCGGAAAAAGCAGGCTGGTGCGATGCTGTGAAAGGCCAGCTCAATAAAAGTTGCATATCTGTTTGGAGTCCCTCTAATTCAAAGAGATGTCGGCAGAGATAAAAAGCGCTGAAATTCCCTGGCTCAGATTGACAAAGGAATTCTTGAGAACGAATGTTCTGATCTCGAGGGACCAGGTATCTATAGCACCGCAGCTAGTCATTCTGCTTGAGCCGATGCATTGATGATTTCAAATTATGAGGGCATAAACACAGACGACTCTCTAATCGTCGCTGGTTAAGTGTCTCATCGTTGATTCAATGCGTATTTGAACCCCTTCTGGTTTTTCTTGACCATCAACTGTATCAATGATTATTACTCCCTGTTGGGATCATCTCAACACCCCGCGACACCACAGGAAATGAAGGTCGAACGTTCCCCAACTTAGGTCTGTCCGCTGTTGTTACATGAGTTACAGAGAGGTGACTTTTCGGTACTGTTTTATCTAGATCCCACGAAACATTTTTGACCTCCCTCATATCCCTGATTCTCACCACACCATTTCTCTTTCAGATACCAAGTTCTGATTCTGCGAAACGATTCTTCTCGCAGACCTGACATGCTTTCCAATAATTCAAACCCCATACAAAAGCCGCGTCTGACGACATTCTTCCTTGTGACCACTTGGCTAGCTGTTGCCAGCCTCAGCTCCATAATTGCGCATTGCGCAAGTCTTCTTCTTGACCGCGCAACGCATGACCTAGCTAGTGGTAGCGGCTGCATTCTGGACATAGAATTCAAACACCTCATGAACAAAGTCTTTGGTGGAGCACTTGCAGTGGCAATTCTTTCAGCTTTGCTTTCAATTTTTGGAACCGCTCTTCTTTTTCAGCCGAGATTGCTGAGCAAGGACAGTCAGGCTCGGGCTTTTTACGGCTGCATCCAACTTTTGTTGATCTTTCCTCTTGTATGCATCGAAGGTTACCTTGCCAGTCAGGTCCCCGGCTTTCAGTCCTCTTTCAAATTCTTCACAAGCCAGGATCATACTCCGTACTACGAGATCATGTATTATGGCGCTATGAGCAAAGCTATCTTCGGCACTCTGGTGGCCATTTTCTATCTGGTTTATGCTTTCGCATGTCATTGATTAAGCCCATGGTATCTAAAGCAAGTGGAAGCGTCAATAGAATTCTATTTTATAGTCAGGAAGCACTGGCAACAAGAATCATCCATCTTCTTTCATACTCAACGTTCTTCCGTAATCCATAAAGCATATCGTGTTTCTTTGACAACTGGCTCTAGCAGCGGCCCCAGGAAAGAGTTTGGCTGGCTCTTTGTACTGCATTGATGAGACTTTGAGGTTGATGGTTTTAACTACACATTCAAGACGGACCATGACCACATTAGGCAGGAAGACGCCTCCCGTAATTTTGTTTCTATCTTCGGGTGCTCTCAATTTTTCAAGCATAAAAGATAAAATAATATTAGGTAAAAACCCCAACAGTTGTAATGTGCCGTTAAAATCGTCTATAATTGATTTGGCATGTTGCAATTACCTCTTAGGACACATAATAGTGGTAAGTAGTCAGTAGATAGAAAGCAGGGTTGCACGGAAAGATAATATCAGTTTTTAGCTCCAAATATATCATTTTCAGTGGTGAAAGCTACTCCTACCTGCCGATACACTTGGTTTCCATCCACATAGGTCTAATTAGTATACTGCTTTCTCACTGGAAAGAGGGAAACTCGGGTAAACCAACGTCTGGATTTTGAACATAATACAGTACTTCTGACTTCCAGTGAGAGAGCTTTGTATGCGATATAAAGAGGCGCCAATCAATCACGGAAAGAAACAATCCTTCGTTTCTATTTAGCTCCTTTTCACTTAGACCCGAGAAGGATGCCCAGCGTCGCGTCGAGTACCCATAATCCTGAGTGAACTTCCAACCCAGAATAAGAGCTGTGAGGAACATTCGCCGCCGACACTGTAGAGGCTGAAGCTCCTGGGGCACTTCGAACGGCTCAATGGAGAACTTCTGCTGAATCGTGAACCGCAAGAGAGCTAGATAGTAGAACGCCACGATGAGTGTATGATATGTTGTATGAGATCTTCGAAGGATATTTTTCAGATAAACCCGAAACCCAGTCGATTTTTTGGGGCTGTTCTTCGCTAGAGAAGACCACAAGCTGATAAGAAATCTTTCCGAGAAATCTATCGACACAATCAGATATCCGTCACGAGGATTCCTGCTACTAGATGACTTACCAATGAGATCTTCATTAGAGACAAGTCGTCTGATTCCTTTGTTCTCGCTCAAAAGTTGAGCCATGAGAATCAAATTCAGGGATGGCGAGAAGGAGAGATGAGCTTTTCGCCTGAATTTGGGGGACAGTGAATGTAGGTCTTTTATCAAGGGCACCTTCTCCGTTAGCATGATATGGAGTCGATGGGCATGAGTTAACATACCTACTAGGAGCACTTTTTGCAATTAAGCTAAGGTGAGATGCTGTGTCTTTTCGCGTTCAATCACAAAGACGAGTCCAGATTCATTCCACACCGGCAACAAAGTATGTTGGCAGAGGCTAAGAGCCAGGTTGACGTATTGATATGTAGGTTGCGTTATTTCTAGAAGAAATCAGTAGCTGATATCGATATTGTGCTTTCAATCGTGTTCACAGGGAGTCAGAAAAGATGACAAGGGCTGGAATTCTTTGGGTTTACTGCCACGATAGCAGGACTCTTGGTGACGAGACTTTTAGTTTATCGGAAAAGCCGTGAACTATGTCCTAACATGCATAATTGCGGCAATTACCGGCGACTGGGGAGAAATCCGAGGAGGAAATTGAGTCTCCAATTTGACCTCTTGCATACTGCACATTCAAATTCTTGCTGCTGCTCATGGCTACGCCAGTCCTCCCTTGCTGATGAACCATATTGAGTGTTTTTCCAACATGACTGCATCTTTTTGTGTAGATCAACAGCTTTGTCTCAACATCCAAAGATCAACATCTACCTGTAAGAAAGTTGGCCAGATTTTGTCTCAGAGAAATGGTACCTAGCTAAAGGTTGGTGGTGAACGTTGAACGCGTGATCGGAGCTTTTCTGCGGCATTCGCACGACTGCTAATATGGTGCCAACGGTGGCAAAAGCTTTATCATATACTGTGTCACCAGAAAAACTTGTTATACGATGATAATTGATTAATTCGGTGATGAATATCTGACACCCAACATCGTATAGATAAATCGGTATGTGCACTTGTCCACCAATATATCTTCATATCATGTTGTTGAGATGTTTTATTTTTCTGCTTCCACTAGCATCAATATCTGTCTGGCATTCTTCTGTTTGCTATTGTGAAGGTTGCTATTGTGAAGGTTGCTATTGTGAAGGTTGCTATTGTGAAGGTTGCTATTGTGAAGGTTGCTATTGTGAAGGTTGCTATTGTGAAGGTTGCTATTGTGAAGGTTGCTATTTTGAAGGTTACTATTGTGAAGGTTACTATTTTGAAGGTTGCTATTGTGAAGCTGTTGGTTTGCATAAAACATTATATTCCAGAGGCAGTCTTCTCTACAAAATTGTCCGCACTGCGAGATACAAGTAGATTTGTTGTAGTTCAGAGGTATGAATTGTGTTATTTATTCAGAGGGAAACATGAGGCTATATATACAGACAAGAAGATCAAGTTGATTTCCAATCAACTTGGTTCTTCGTATACATACTTCGGGATTAATTCCGATGGTTCGGCTTGATTCCTGATCTGCACCAGCCTCATATCACAACAAACTCGGCTTTTTGAGGTCCAATTAATGTTGTATGATTTAATGTGGGGCCGGTTAGTGGAAGAGAGTCTATTTTAGAAGATAGATTACAGCAAAAAAAGAATAACAAAGCCTGGTTTTTCGCTTCCAAAAAAAAAGAAAAACATAACTTAATTCAAAAAGATAGGGGCTGGGGGCTAAATAAAATCAAAACACACTAATTTTATTGCTTATTAATACTAGCGGAGGTCGAGGTTTTCTACCTCCGCTGTAAATCGATTTGTAGCGGAGGTAGAAAATCTCAACCTCTGGTGGGGCGAAGTCACGTTACTTTTCTACCTCCGCTCAGCTGAATCCCGCAACAAGTCTCCGTCGGCTAGAAGAGATCGCCTGCCATGATTATTTCAGACCCAGTGTCAGAAACTCTATAATTTTACCAGCACTATTAAGCTGATGTCAAAAAGCTCATTTGCAAATCCATCCTTTGGGAGCTTTTTGTTACCAAAGGACAACTATTGGAAGCATCAAATCCAGACTCGATGCAGAGCTCTCTTTCTTAGGTTTGGGTCTTTCGTTACCTGAGCGGAAGCGGCCCAGACAGCGAAACATGCGATCTCCGCAATAAGTTCCAACTTAGACTTCCGGGTGCGACTCGCACACCGATGGTCCCACATGATCGAGGGTCCAATTAATATTATAGAAATTTAGTGTGGGGCCGGTTGGTTAGTACAGGAAATGATGACAAATTGTAATATGCGTTTTTGTAGGGTATGCTTCGTATCAATGGTCACATGATTTTCTGGGTAAATTACCCCGCAAGCTCATGTAATCCCCTTGGTACTCGAGATTATGCTAATTCCTTGGCATCGGAGATCACATATCCGCAAATCCGAGATCGATTATTGCCGCAGGTTCCGAGATAGTAGTTAGACGGATTTATATAATCTCGTACAAGAATCCAAATCATTTCATCCCTAGCGACATCCCTTTCCAATTGGCCACCCAAACCTCAACTAAGTCAAGTAGTTTTTCTCAACAACACTGTCAACCCGCCGCCATGACTACAGGACTGCTTCGAGTATGGTTCGAGCCTCATGATTCCGTCGACGAGGATAGCTTCAACGAATGGAGGAAATCGGCGTTTTCCCAAATCCTTGGACTTTCTAGCGTCGACATTTTGACCAGCAAGGACAAAATCGAGGGTCCCAACATTTACCCGTACGAGAACGCCTACCACGTAAACGATATTCATGCCATCGACGAAGCATTGGTCAATACCCTTCGTACATCCGCCGAAAGAGTCCTTAGGCGCAGCGATTGGCAACTTTATGAACGGATCTCTTATGACAAGCGCGACGATGTCGGAGAGCGCTTGCCTGGAACAGTCTTTGTCACGGTCGGAATGTCACCAATTGACTCGTCGGAAAATATCACCGACTATCATGAATGGTACAAGCAGGAACATATGCCAATCCTGAGAGATGTGCCTGGGTGGCGCAGTGGTAGCCGGTACAGGCGTCTGGCTTCCTATGGAGACCATGCTGAGTTCTCTTCGCCGTTTCTAGCGGTCCACCAATACAACGAACAAAATGGTCTTGGTGGCGAGCAATGGTCCAAATCTGTAAATTCACCATGGACAAAGCGAGTTTTGTCAAATTTGGCTGAGCCAAGCCATAGACGAGTTTGGAGATTGGCATTTTAGACATACAGCATCAGATAGTGTACTTCAGATAAATTTACACAATTTGACTGATGTCTTTTCCTCCTTGTATATATTCTAGGGATCTACAATCAAGAGCCAAGTAGGATGCTGAGTAGGAATTATCTCATGATTCTCACACCATCTCTTCTAAATGCAAAATGTCTAAATAAATGTCCCAGGAGACCTGTGTTGGGTCGGTCTTGGATCGAATTTGAAATTTTGGTTCCTAAATACCCCCTATGAAGATTTTGAGGGACCAGCTGGAGCTCAAAGACGAAAAGCAAACGCAGGAGGTGTCATTTCCTGCCTACATGGTTCGTCCATGTGACCTTTGAAACACCGCCAGGCCTGCTGCCAGGGAGGTCAATCCACAGATTCTCACAGTTAGTGAACTCCTTCCCACTTATGAAATGAGGAGTATCAAACGACATTAGTTAATTCGCCACGAGAGGATACAATAGCCTTCCACTCACTTGAGGCCGTCTACGGCCGCCGAAACTTCTGGGACTCGTAGGCCACACGGTCAACAGATCGAGTACACAGAACAACGCTATCATTGGTCAGATCTGTATTACATTTGAGGCCCCAGAAGCTATGCACGAGAGGGATTAGTAGGGAGGCCTTAGCCTTGTCTCGCTTCTCAGCGGATGCGCAGGCAGCCAATGGGCAAACAAATGGATCGTGCTATTTACAAAGCCACATCCTTTTATTTTGCGAGTGAGATCCTTGGGTTTGTTCTATTAAACTCTTGAATCAACTCCAAATAAACAACAACTTCCAAAGTGGTTCGGAGGTCTGAGATCTGGTCAAGTAAGTGTCGGTAAAATGACATGCCATCCCGGCAACTTGGATAAGTACTCCATCCGACTTTGATCCTGATACCCAACTACATAGGAGAATTGATTACCGGGCATTGAGCTACATCAATATGACTTTCTATAGACTGATTGTGAAGGTACTTTCCCAAGTGATTTAGCATCCACTCCTTCCTCATCCTTCCGATGCCCAAGTTTCGCAGCCGGTAGGAGATAGCGTAATGGACTTTCAAGGCTTAGAGCTTCATGGAGACTGTGCAAAAAAGGAGGTAGATTATATTTCCATATGAGCCCTCTAAACCGATACTTTGAAGCTTGAATTGTGATATCAATGATGTGAAAGCCACTCTACTAGAACATGCCATAGAGGATATGCAAATTCTTACTTGTGATAATTTCGCCAATGTCGGTTGGTTGGTCGAAAGAACCAGATGTCAAATTCTAAAAGGGAGCCCGATCATCTATATTCTAAAAGTCCAGGGGTCCTAATTTTGATTTAGTGGCCAATTTTGTCGTGAAGGCTCATGTCCAATATGATCCAGGTGACGGCCAGCGCGCTCAAACAAGATGTGAATAATGATGGCTTCCGAAGTCCAATCTTCGTGCTATTCTGCAATTTTCTCAACACGGTCCGGAAAGTGCTACAATAACCTGCTGCATTATTTCAGCCGCCATTTGCTCCCCAAAAGACTTGAACGGAATATTGAACGGAATAGTAAGTAAAATTAAATATGAACAATAGGTGAGAATTTATGTCGCTCGCCAAAGCATGAATGGTTGGAGATTTGCTTTTGCGGGTCGGTCAATTTGAAACTTGACAGAAGGTGCAAATAGCTCAAGGTCTGCTCTCGTCTAGTAAGAAATCTCGAACGTGGCCGTCTAGCGATGAAAGGGGATCTGTAGCATGTGGAAGGTCATCTTAAAACCTTAGGCAATATTAGTCGGACGACGTTGCAAAGGGTCCACAAAAAATAAAACACAAGCAGTAGGCCAAATTCGACTCACGGTGGATTGAATCAATGAGCCTGTGGAACAGGGTCAGGCCTGGGGTGGCATATCTTTGAAAGGCATTACTATTCCCGGGATTGAAGGTCGACTACAACATTTTTGAGCCCCCGCAACCGTCATGGCTTGATGCCAACTACCAAGAGCTCTGGAGACACCAAATAAGAGCCCAGCGAGTCATCAGATTCTGCACACTGTTTAGAAAAAAACATATTACGTGTGAACAATATGTTCTTGAAGCAAGAAGAGTGAAGTTTAAAAATTGAACTACATATGTTGATGAAATTAAAATAAAAACCTTTTACAGTGTTTAACAGCTCAAGATACTGGAGGTGATCAATCAACAATATATAGCATTCAAACGAAATACTGAGTATAAGAGAAGGTAAGAATAATAGAGAGCGGGAAGACAATATAACGTAATTCCCGGCCGGTCTGCGCACCCCAAACCCCATAGTAAATGCAATAAATTACCACTTCATATCTCAACAACCATATTTATTTATGATAAGACATTAAAGTAATATAATCAAGATAGTATTTCTAACCTACTGGCGCGGTATGAGGAAATTATTGGAGTTAGTAGAGATATATGTTTCTTATTACCCACGCCAAAATTACACCGTATTTTATAGTAAAGCATCAAAATAGCCTTCTGAATTGCTTCAAACTAAGATATATTATTTCATATGCTAGGGAAAGCCTATATTCTTATACTTAAGTAAAAATAGTCTTTCATTGCTGAGATATGAAGCGGTAACTTATTGCATTTACTATAGGTTTTGGGGTGCGCAGCTCGACCGGGTGCGCAAACCGGCCGGGAATTACGTTAACCAATGAGGCCTGGATGCCTGGGCATACCCGTAACCATACAGTGTGTTACACAGTGCACAACTGCGCTCTCTGGGATCGAATGAAGCTGTTTGCATGGAGAATTCCAGCAATATTTATCTAGCCCAAGGAATAGGCCTACGGATATATCGGAATTCGCTGTATATCATTTCGAATTTGACTTGATTTAAGTTCCTTTCAAGCCACTCTCCGCGCATCTTGTCGAATCTGACAGACCCACAAACATGAGCTTATAGCGTGAACAAGCTTTGCGAGGAATATTGTCTCGAACCCTGGACCCGGCCATGGGTTAAAATGGGCATTTGCCTTTGCTGAACATGTCTGTTATCATTTTCGAGGCTCTCTCACTCAGCCCACAAGTATCCAAATTAAAAGGAAGTTTCTGTGTCTATCCCAATTGGCGGTTGAGGAAGACACGCGTGTTTTATCCATGGATCTCTCATATCGGAGGATGCAGACTACCAAGGAAAACCAAGTAGACATTCAAACCACTTCGAGCTAAAGAGCTACACTGACGAGAGTAAAAAATGACAGTACACGGCCTGATAAAATAGCACCAAATGAATTCACCTAGTCAGTAGCAAATGGACCAATTGTATATATACAGAACGAAGCTGCATTCGTAAATAGAGATCCTGGCAGTTGACTCTTCATGTTTGAGTAATTCTCTTGCCACGGATATGTCCCACCCCATCTGTCCACGTCGAAACCTCGAATCTCTCAACTGCCGTTCGCGCTTCTTCTGTCAGCTCCCTGACCATGGCTGACTGCCCTTCATACTCGGCATGCGATCCATACCGCTCAAAGACTGTTATGGCGCCCTGATCCTCATCATTCCCCACATCTGCCGTCCGATGCCGGAGCGGATAAAAAGTCAGCACACTCTCGTCGCCAATAGCCGCCTCTGCGAGCTCCTTCAGTTTCTTTTCGAGCATGGTTCGTGCGTCGCTAGTCTCGGGAAAGTACTGCGTGAGAATAACATAGGTGCTGCTTTCCCTCTTCCGATCAAAATGCACATCCGTGCCGTCTTTAGTGAGGAAACATAGCTCCGCGGGAATAGCGGGTTCCAGGAAAGTGAGGGGTGATGGGCGAAGGAAGAGTTTCTCCGTTGGCGCCACAGCACGCATATGCTTGTAAGCTTCTCCCGCGCGGTGTATCTCAGTCAGAGACCGCTCTTGCTCGTAACTATTGGGAAGCGTAGGTTTGTCAGCAAGTTCTGTCTTTGAACGCTTTACTCGAAAGCTAAGATCAAATGACCAAAGGAAACTGGAACAAAAACGTGGTGAGGAAATTTCAGCAGGTGCATGCTATACACACATTTCTAATCCGCACACAGTAGGCCCTTCCAAGGGGCTGTCAAGGCTCTTCCGGTACCAGCAGTAAGCAATGTTTTCGTTTTCATTCAAGAAGGTTTCTCTAGAAATCGCTTCGAAGAGGTCCAGGACCTGTGTTACTCCAAACGCAAGCTCAATTAGCGATACGTAATGTAGAAGTTGCTTTGAGTGTTTCGATGAGGGGGTCATCTAAGATTAAATGTCTTTGAAGTGCTCTGCTGGGAAATACGGACTCGCTCTTTCTTTTCTTCCGTTGCGAAAGGGATGACTAGGGCTAATGCGAATGCCATGTCTGTTTTGTTTCTTCACTTAGCGTGAAGCCGCGGTGATTGCTAAAGATTGACGAGATAATTTTTGATGCTTGTGCTATGTGGGGCCTCTTTTCATTCTTGATGATTTTGGCCAGGTCTATTTACTGTGGAGCAGCGGAGGTGCGACCTCCGCATGCGGAGAACCTTTCCCCGATCATACGTGACTAGATAACCACTTCAACCTGCAGATACTAATCTAAAAAGAATTAACCCAACATACCTTCGGCGACTGATTTCGAGCAGAAAGCCTGGAAATCCCATGCTTCAAAATTGCACAACGCAACAGATCGTTTACAATGACCAAAATAGACTCGGGGTTTATCGCCTCGCTCGCAGAATGTGGCAAGCCTGCTGAGAGCACTTTCCGGTGGTATCTGACGGCTATTGTAGCACTGGGCGCCTTGAATTACCCTGAAGAGATTCCCGGATTTTATAGACACCTTCTTGATCAATATATTCCAGAACCCGAGCAGAGGCAGGAGACACGCAAAATTCTAGAAGGTCTGACCAAAGTTTGCGGAATTCAGGGGGCCGCTAAGGTAAGTTGAACTCTTGTTCTTTCCTTGGTATCGGGCTGATTGGGGGCGTAAAGACAGGGAATGCTACACGGGCATTGGCTACTGCTATACCCGAACACCTCAGGGACAACAAGTGCTACCGGTATGTTTGAATCCACCTCTTTCCAGTTTCTCCGCGGCTTTCGTTTCAGCCTGAGTCATGTCTATCCACCACGGCCCATGTCACTAAAATTTATCTGCAACTGCTAACACGATCCTGCACTCCAGCGAGAAAGAAACATTCGAAGAGGCTCGCGAGCGAGGGCAGAAGATGCTCCGCAGCATATACGGACCTAATCCAGATTATGATGGCTCCAAAACAAAGACCGCCGCACCGGACTATTCATGGATTGTTACAAGTGAGTTTTAAAATGGTTCCAATGTTATTTCGGAAATTTTCCTCCTGAATGCCTCTTGATTTTCAACCTTTAGTTGACTGTAGGTTGACTTGAAAATTTCTTGTTCATCTTTAGATCTTTTTTACTCCTTCGTATTCTCCTTCGACGAGATTCTGAACACCCTTGAGACTAGCCAGGTGATTATTGCTGCGCTACTTGGAATCGATTGTCAAGAACAAGTGAAAAATCACATGATAGGTATGATGCTGAATGGTGGACAAAGGGATGAGATTATCGCCTTGACAGACATTGTCATGTTGCTTGCGGACAGACTAGGGGTGAAGTTCAAGGGTTCCCAACCAAGTGTGCCGGAAATGCCCAAATTAAAGCCTACAGACATAAATTTGGAAAAGGAAGAAAGGGGATCCTCAGACCTCCATCAACACATCTGATCCGCAGAGTTGGGAGGCTTGGTCTAGCAAATAATAGTTGCAAATCTTTAAAGAGAATTAAGTTTTGAAAGTTTGACGTAATTTGAAGGGCTGCTCGTACCAGGCTAAAACGGTCAGGTACTTAGATATCCACAGTCTAAGCAGTTTAATGCTATTCACGACGTTTTTTATATAAGTCCTTGCATTGATAGCATAAAACAACAAGCGCAGTTAATCCTATTATATTGCAAGCTAACAGAAAATTGAAGGAGAGAGAGGAAAGAGAGGGGCGAACGAAAGGCTTTTGCACCATGTACAGACTAAAAGCTTAACTAAACAAACTAGGGGGCATATACAGTCGAGAATACATGGTAAACTATGCTAAGCATCCCCATGGTAATTGTGCAACGGTACCAATCAATAATGGATCTCTGGGAGTACTTCCATATTCCAATACTCTTCAAAGTCTAGAGTCTGTGTGTCCCCAATGCTTCTGCCGGCCATTTCTCTGACGGTAAAGCCATTACCTAACCACAAGAATCTATTTTGGCCATGCGCTCTGTGGTACTCAAACTCGTAGTCCTCCCATTTCGGGTCTCGGAGCGCCTCCGCGAAGTGGTAGCAGCTACCACCATACAAAGCAACCACCTTACCGTCGATGGTACCTCGCTTATACCAGCTCCGGCACGGTGCCACCCACACAGTTTTCGAAAGCATCGTCTGAATATAATCATTGTATTCGCGGGTGGCCGTTTCTTTGACTTCCATGGACTTAAGACCTTGAGTTTGGAGTTTGTTGATACATTTATAAATGTAAACTCCCGTCATTTGAATGGCTTGTACCAACGAGCCATTTGATACCGGGCTATTGGGGCCAATGAAGGAGAAGTAATTGGGAAATCCTGGGACACTAACGCCAAAGTATGCTTCAGGGTCTCCCACGGTCCACTTCGTTGCCAAATCCACCCCATGACGGCCAATCAATGGAAATCTAGGTTTGAATGAGCTTTCAAAGCCAGTCGCACAGAATATAGCGTCTAACTCTATATGAGAGCCATCTCGAAGCTGGACGCCGGTGTCGGTTATGCGTTCAAGATTGTTCCACCAGCTGTCGACATTGTCTTGAACCAAAGCCTCGAGGAAGCCAGGTCCAGGAGTCAGACGTCGGCAACCGGCAGGGAAGTCTGGAAGAAGCCATTCAGCAATTTTCGCGGCTTTTTCAGATGAGCCCAGGCGGCGCAGCATATCGTCCCGGAAGAGTTTGTCCGTTCGATCCTGTGCTTCACGCCCGGCCATGGAGTTTTTGAAGCTCTCAATACGCTTGTCAGCAAGAGCTCGACGGTGTTGGCGCAAATAGTTGGGGTTCTCTGCGAATCTCTTCAACTCGTGCTCCGCATAGTTGTATGCGGCATCCATATCAGGTTCAGTGGCTGTTGGTTCGAGAGCACCTGGCCCTGTAGTGATCCAGGTCGATGAGCGCACGAAAAAGTCGACATGTTTAGCTGTTTGCGCTACTTTAGGTAGGATTTGGACACCGGAAGACCCAATACCGATAACAGCAACATTCTTGTTCTTCCAGTCATATGAAGTATCCCAATCGGCAGAGTGAAGGAGTTTCCCTTTAAAGAGCTCAATACCAGGAATCTTTGGCCAGCTCCATGAGCTTTGTGTCTGGTTAGCTTGAGGAAGAGACAGAAGTGAGGGATTGATGGGTACCTCAAGACGCCTCCAGCGTTGATCAAAACATCGCACTCGTCGGTGAATTCTTCTTTCTTATTTTGGACAGTAATGTGCCATTTTCCCAAATCTTCTTGCCATTTTGCGCCAGTGACTTTGTGATTGAAAGCCATTAGGTCCTCGCAGCCAAAATTCTTAGTCACGAGTTTCATGTAATCATAAATTTCCTCTGATGTGGCGTAATAGTTCCTCCAAGCTGGATTAGGAGCGAAGCTATAGGCGTAGTTATGTGCAGGGATATCGCATTGACAACCAGGATATCTATTTAGTATCAGAGTCAATATACGTGTCAACATTGAGGACGTGAACACAGCTAAGAGATTGCTCTACCTGTTCACAAGCCATGTTCCACCCAAGTCGTCATTCATATCATAGATCTGGAAGTCAACTTTGTGGTTCTTCATCTTCTTTTTCGCCACTATAGCCATCATCAGACCAGAATAACCAGCACCAATGCATACAATACGGATTGGACGGTGTTCCCCAATTGGTGCGTCTCGAACTTGGATCGGTGTTCCATCTTCGTAAGATATCGACCCCATGGCTGATGCATTGAGTGTTGGTAATGTCAGATAAATATCTGCTATGCGCACCATTTACTTGAGATATATGTCTACCGGGGCTTCATTACCTCCTCCAAGCAAGTGTCTGCGGATATCACATCTCCAAGGACGGTCCAATTACCCCGCACGCCTATGGACGCGGCACGGAGGTATGAAGCCGAGAGGCCGACCCTATCGGATACTACACCCGATACCGGAGATTTTCATGCGGAGACCTAACGCCGAGATTTGCCGACCGGCCTTGTCAGACACTACATATGCCAGGGAAACATTTCTTGGATTTTCTGGAAGAGTAGTAATAAGATATTCGATAGTTCTCACCAAAGGCACGTCTATCCCTCCATTGGCTGGTCCAGACTCAACATGGCGATGAATAAATCACTCCCGCGATTCGAAGACCTGCCTGTCAATAAGAATGATCCTCCATTTTCTGCTTGGGGTCTTTGGAAGAATCCAGAGCTCGGTGCACTCAACTACCTGACAGATGAAGTCGTCTTGAAAGCTGCGAAAGAGGAGATCCAGACCGGAATTCGTGTGGGATTGAAGTAAGTTCGACCTCCAGTCTTCCCTAAGGTAACCTTCCCCTCTTTTGAGAAGATAAGATGCTGAAGGCTCGAAGCTTGCCTCTTGATTTCATCAAGCCTTCTTTGCTTGGTCGAGTTGGCTTTGAACACAAGATGATAAATAAAGCACCTAGAATTGTAAACGACGATATTGTATGTAAACTCCAAGCCATGGTTTTCTGATACTAACATCTTGAAAGATTACTTTCAACACTCAGGGAAGCGCGCAATGGGATAGCTTTCGACACTTCGCTTACCAGGCGGAGAAGAAGTTTTACAACGGGTATGATCCCAGCATTCATATAGCCAATCCTTTCAATTCTCTAATCCGTCATTTTAGAGTAACTCAAGATGACATATACGCCGAGGCTGAAACGACGATAAATGGTATAAATGCCTGGGCTGATCGAGGAATAGCTGGACGAGGAGTTCTTATCGACTATTTTTCATGGGCACAGGAACAAGGCATCACATATGATCCTACAAAGACGCATCCAATCACACTAAAGGAGATCAAAAGGATCATCAATGAAAAGCGTATCACCTTACGAACTGGAGATATATTCCTAATTCGCACAGGTGGGTATACTATTCCACTGAAACACTATTTGCGGTCTTTTAAAACGCACCTTGAATAGGAGCTTACAAATATTACAGGATACGTTTCTGGTTACGGAGCAATGAATTCAGAAGCGAAAGAAGCACACAAGTCCGAACATAGCTGGCCAGGATTTGCTCAATCTGAGGAATCCGTTAAATGGCTTTGGGAAAATCAATTCGCCGCAGTTGGTGCCGATAATCCAGCTTTTGATTGTGTGCGTAAGTAAATTTTATATCCCTCCGTGAAATAACTATATTCACTAAATTTGCCTTTAGCTCCGGTGGACCCCAAGTATTTCTTGCATCCTATTCTTCTGGCTGGATGGGGTACACCCATTGGGGAACTATTCGACCTCGAGCTTCTGGCACAAACTTGCAATCAATTGGGTCGCTGGACATTCTTTCTGTCTTCTGCACCCCTGAATTATACTGGCGGAGTAGCCTCACCACCGAATATACTCGCCTTCTTCTGAGCGTTAGCACGATAATTTTCCAATAGCTAGTTAACATTGATATATGTGACAAATGGAGAATTTCCACATAGAAGCGAGAAAAAGTGTAAAGTTTCTATGTGATCTTACTGTAAAATGAATGGATTGGCAAGTGTATAAGAATAATATGACTGTCTTGATGAATGAGCACTGGATTTGCCAAAACAAGGTGAAATTTGTTAAAGGAGCTTCCTATCAAGACCTCAAGACTATGATATTTCGCTACATAGCTTTCAACTAAATCAGCGGCTGAGATGGGTAATTGTTAGTGCATTCATACTATTCTACAGGTTTATTTTTAATCAAACTCTCTAAATACCATTGGAAATGACTGCTCTTAGTCAAGCATACTGGATATATTTCGAATTGTGCTATTGCAACTGCGAGGATGCTCAGATACTCACATATATCAGGATAAGATGTAGCAATATCGGGCAAAGAAAGTAGTAGCGGTTCCACAAAAGTAATAATTTGACCAGAAAGTAGAAGAGGAAGCTGAGACAGAAGCTAGACAGGTGTAGGCGTGGATGCCTAAGTGGATGCCATCCGCACAAGGCATCAACAACAATAGGAACCACATAATTCGTTACAGCAACTTCCAAAATGGTTGTGGGCCTACTTTCTAGAAAAGACGTAGTGAGAGCCTTTTTCCTAACCGAATATTTCTCCTTCACTTGCCAAATTATTGTCACTCCCGTCTCGACTCCATAGGCTTGCATCGCTTCGACAGCTCTTTATGTGCTCGAAAAGTGGCCGAGACGCTTACAGCGTAAAGCGAAAGGCTTCGTCACCATTGATAATTAGTTCGCCCCTGTCAGCTTTCTTATTAGCAGATCTGAAGTAAGCCATAAGGGCACAGCAGGTAACGACTGTTAAACCAGTGCATCTTTGATAGGGAACTTAGTGAACACACTTCAAAATCAATAATATTACTTTTTGCTTACCCAATCGTGGTTGAAACCCCAGGGACATAACCTGGCGCATCCTGAGACCTATAAACTAGACTGCCAGATATACCTCCAATACCGGCAATTCCAGTCAAGGAGGCTGAGCAGAATGCCCGTTTCCACTGGCCTCTAATGTTGTTTGCCTTTGATATATAAGCTAAAGTCATAGTCCTCATGAGATTATCACTTACCTGGTAAGTCATGATCGTAGGGATGCAGCTGTTTACAGCGGCCACGCTTACGAATATCCCAAAGTACCGAACCCAGGGATTATTCGCGAATCCCGCAATGGGTAATCCAATCAGAGCGATAAAGCAATTCATGATTATCAGCGGTCCTCGAACATGAAGACGATCCCCATACCATGCAGTGAACATCATGAGAACGGCAGCTGCCACGTATGGTGGACACACCAGACATTGTGATGCTGCAATACCAAAGCCTAGGGTATCTCGAAGGATGATTGGAAGAAAAACTATATATCGAGTCAGTGTGATGAATTCCATATGGCTGGTTGTTTACTTACAAGTGTAGGAGTATGATGTAGTCGTCATAAAACTAATTCCAGAAATTAGCAAGCTTCTTAAGCCATGCCAAACGAGGAAATATCGTTCGTATTGCTCCATACAATTGCATTAAGGCGAAACCCCAAATCTCCAAGTCCAAGGCTGGTTTTAGGAATTTTGACCAGGTAAAGGCTTCGGGTTCAACATCTCCACGATCCCTCTGTATCCGCGAGATGACAAACTCGAGTTCTTCGCCCTTGAGAAATCGAAATGACGGGCTCTTACGTTCTTGATCGGGAAATTTCACCATCAAAAAGAAGGCGAATACTGCAATAGAAACTGTTATCTATATCGTTGTTAAAATATGAGCCTCAATGTTTGAGAAGGGTGTCGCTAACAATTCCCTCTAGAATGAATATCCTAAGAAAATGATTAGATTCTGGATAAACCGAAAGGCTTAGTGACGTACCATCGCCAGCCTGAAATGCCGCCAACGTTATCCATTTGCATGAGTCCGTACGAGAGGATACCAGACAAGGACGAATACACAACACCAATAAGATAGAACAAGGAGTAGCGTTTGGCGGTCTCATCTAGGATTATTAAGCTTAGTGTTCAAAATTCCTGATTTTGAGGTACTTACATCTTGTATACCAGGTGGAGAGCAAGTACACAGAGCCTGGAAAGAAGCCCGCCTCAAGGCATCCGAGGAGAAGCCTCAACCCCACAAGGGTTGTCCAATTCTGGGAAAATCCAAACCCAACAATCACCCCGCCCCATATAGCGCAAACTCCTGGCAAAAAGAGCCGTGGGCCGAGCTTACGACAAACAATAGTCATTGGGGCTTGAACAATGACATATGTGACAAAGAAGCAGAGGGTCACAAGACTGTAGCGGTAGCCAGTCTCAAGGTGGAGATCCTCTCGCATTCCAGCTATGGCAGCATTGGACACATTGCTTCGGTCCATGAGTGATATGCCAAACATGAGCCCCAAAGAAGGTATCACACGCCAATCAATTTGTCGTTTCATCCGACGTATCTCTTGAGGTGTGTACCTAGCTTGGTCTTCGAGAATTTCTGCAGCCAGATCCTTAGGAACATCTTCGACATTCTCCAAGTGAATTGCTCCTGGCGGCTTCGATGGTGTTTCGGCCATTTTGGCGTGCAACAGTAGATTTTCTGAAGTTTAGTACAATAAGATAAGATTTTGAAAGGACAAAGGGCTAAAATAGTAGGAATCAAAGAATTATCTTGAATATGGGATATCCGACGGAGCAGTATATACAATCTTTTCTTAAAAACCTTAGTTTTCTGCTCCTATAATCGACTCAGGTGTGATTGACAGGCGGGTCTGCGCACGGAGTTACAATCGCCGAAACCAACCCCCGCCACTTGCGTACTCCAGAACCTCCGGCGCCCGTCGGAAAGTATATTTCAAAGGTTCCAGATGCCGACCCATCACCCAGTCAAAGGATATGGAGGATATGAAAAAGGCTAGTATACGAAGGGGCATAGCGGCCAGGGTCAGATCCTTGAGTTTTTAGTGACAGTGCCTGATCAATTCCTGATTCTAGACCACTTTCCACATAGCTTCCTATTGCATACTGCTACTAGTATCACGGCGATACAAATATATTTACCGGGTTCGATTAAATACTACAAGCCGATAATGTTTCTATATATATCGGAATTCTATATGTAAGACGGCGCATCACGATTCATGACCCACATTGAATATGCATTTTTTCCTACAGAAAAGACACCTCAATAAAGGGGCTTCTTAATGTACCGCTTATCTTTTCAATAACATGGCAGGATTGACTACAGGCTGTGAAGACTTCAATTTTCCCCTGTCTTCCAGTAATAAGTGGGTAACATTGGTAACTTGGAAAAATTTCTTAATGCAGACCGGCTATTCAAAACGTCATCCACAAAACCAGTAATGAGAGTGGAATCTTCAGCTGTAGCTTTCCTTTTTTGTTTTACTGGTTTTGTGATGTATATCCCCGCTCCCACTTCGAGCCCGATCTGCGTACTCATATCTCTGCGATGTATACTCTTTGAGTCAGACGAATATTCGGTTTGTAGAGGCCATCTATGACCCTTTTTGATTTGTTGAAAAGCCCTTCTTTTATGAGACTTTTTGGTGACCATCGAAGTTGGATCGAGGTTCATGAAATTGTAAAACCCAGAAGCACGTTTTAGATCTTCGGTCGTTCGGACATTGTGTCCATGAGGTGTCGCCGTATCAATGAAGGACAATTCGACGTACTCAAAAAGTTGAGCGGACTGGGATCCCTCGGACATTTGAGCGGGCTTCACGGCATTGTCGCGCCAATCATTCGTAAAATTGAACTTCTCCGGAATTTGATAACGCTTGTTGCTAGGTTCTCGCGTTTTTTTCATTGTCGGCCGTGCGAAGGAAAGAATATGAATATGATGCGTAGTAACTTCCTTGCTCGAGAAGAATTGCTAAGGTAGAATCACACGGACACGTGGAATCTTTTATAGCTCAAAATGAGCAAATTCTGCCCAATTCGAAGCGACTTTTAATGGCAAATCGGTTATGAAATTATAGACTCGTGGATGGATCAAGCCTCGGGCATCAATTTCCGTGTTCTATTTTGGCAGAGAGACATTTTCGCCCAATCGAACCAGCTAGATAACCAGCCAGAGAAGTCGCGAACTTTTAACTAAGTCGGCATTCTCGAGCTAAAAGGAAAAGTAACTTCGCATGGTACTTCAATCTACTTTGCTAAAGCCGGAAATATATATATCGCAATTTCAATATCATAAAAACTTTCCAAAATTCCCTGAAGAGGTTAGCACCAGGAAACCTCCATACAGACAACCGTTTAGTTAAATTAACAGGTTGTAATTTATTGCATCCAATACCTAGGTATGCGCTCTAGGTAATCTCGACCGCTTAAAAAATACGTTACAGCTTATAGCTGGGATGGACCATTTGCATTCTTGCCGCCTGAAATATCTGCACAGCAAAAGGCCAACCTTCATCAAAATTTAGGTTGCCGCTCCATTGCGTATAGTATCCTTTCAAGACAAAGGTTCAGCCGTACCTTTGGATCTGAAGTTACGAGGTTCGACCGGCTTCTTAATTTTAGGGCATCACAACCAGGCCGGAGTCCAAGTCTAACATTCTATCCAGATCCTCCGACCGGAGTAGCAAGCTCCGTAAAATCCGATCGATAAAATTTCAGACAATTACCCAATCAAAGCGAGGAAGCCAACTAGTGGTATTTTTACTAGCGCATCTAGGCTTCTCTCGACCGGATATTGTATCGCCGAGGTTTTTCTTAGCCCACAGCCGTTAAGGTTCGCTCTCCGTGCGAAATGATAGAGCGCTGCATCTTTAACACGCAAACCTAAGACTGTAAAGCAGTCTTGAGTTCGGTGACCTTCTGATAGGAGACTTCAAGTACCTTTAGCGGACCTACATCGTGCCCTTGGCCACCAGAAACTACAATATTTCGCCGAAAATCTGCGAGGATGGCCTCCTTTTCTGAGTATGGTGGTGTGGCTCCTGAGTGGGCAGCTTTGATTGCCACCCAACCAGAGTCTGATTTCTCCCAAGATCTGTCTGCCCGGGAGTTACGCTGCCTGACGAACAATCAAAGAGAAGAGGCCGCACGCAGATACATACAGACAATAGGTTGGTTGGTCCCTTATTTGAATACAATGGCATTGTAATACGATGGCTGATTGAGTGCAAGATGATGTGTCTTTTCAGGATTTCAGTTGCGAGGTCAGTGATGGATCACGCATCCCCTTGCGAGTATATAAGCCCAAATCTGGCCCAGTGGGAGAGTCATTACCATTGTATGTATGGTATCATGGTGGGGGCTTTCTCTTTGGTAGTCTAGCCTCAGAGGATGCTTTCTGCTTCTCCATAGTCCGAGCATTGAAGACTATTGTGGTCAATGTATGTTACAGGCATACACCAGAATCGCAGTGGCCGGTGCAGGCGAATGATGCATACGCAGGACTCCAGTGGGTTTTCGATAATATCGATACGCTTGGGGGGGGATTCTCAGAGAATCATTCTCGCAGGAGCATCTGCCGGAGCTCTTCTAGCTGTAGGCGTCACATTGAGAAGCCGAGAAGGGGTGAGCTATCAAAATTCTGGAAGACAGATCATCACTGATATATTTGTGAATCAGCAGCAGCAACCCAGAATACGGGCGCTGATTTTGGATATTCCAGTACTTTGCCATACCGCCAACTTTCCGCATGAGTTGATTTCTGCTGGAAGGTCCTCTTATTATGAGAACAAAGACGCTCCAATTCTTCCTGCATCCCGCATGAAGCTATTTGAAGACTTGCTGGGCAAAAATGCACTTGAAGATCCCGAATATAACCTGCTTCTCAAGGTAGACGACGACTTGAAAGGCCTACCACCGACACACTTCCACATCGCGGGGAGAGATATCCTTCGCGACCAGGCTTTTTTGTTTATGCAAAAGCTTGATCGGAATAGGTGAGAAAGATTTATTTCGAGAAGCGAAGTCATTGCTGAACCAATCCAGGATCCCGACCAGTATGAACGTCTACCCCGGCCTCCCGCATGGATTTAGAAGGTACAGAGATCTGAAAGCAACTCAACAGTGGTTTAAAGACCACGTGGCAGCCGCGGAAAAATTACTGGAAGCGGTCTAGAGACATTTGGTTAAACTATTCGTATATCAGGTTCTTCTAATCCTTGAAATACTTTGAACATGAAGTGATCACATTCGCTAAATATGAGATACCTCTACCATTTGCTGCAAAATCCAAGAGGTGGGTAGAACTATGATGTGCAGGACTTCAGCCCCTCTGAGCCTATGGCAAAGCTTTTGGTACTAACCAAGGGGGCCGCCACAAATTTTCTTTTTTCTAGGTTGCCTTCAATATTTCGGATGTAGGTCGGGTGAATCCCTTTGTTGTGTTTTCCAGAAACATTTCGGATACGTGCCAGAAGCTGGTGATGAGGTTGGCCTATTGTATAGAAGTAGCGTCCTCTCTATTTCTCGTAGGATACTGTGTCTTGGGGATTTCAGAGGGTCTTCTCAAATATCGCTGTTCTGCGGAACGTAAAACTCGGCTGGCTGGCCAAATAGTCCATACAACATATTAGGCTGCTCAGCTAGGCCCATTTCGTCTGCTGTTGCAAATGAGTCGAGATTCTCTGTCATCAGGTATTCCTGAAAGTCATCAACTCCAAGCAAGCCAATATCAGGATCATATAGCCCTCTTTCGGATCTGTTATTGGTGTCTTCGACAACGGGCTGAGAATTCTGGCTTTCTCTCATTGTTTCATGTAATGTAGCGAGAGTATTCAAGTCGAGCCCCGCTTGCTCGAACATACCTCGAATGATCAGAATAGGTTTCTTGAACCCAAAATTAGCTCCTTCTTGAAGCTCTTTGAGCGCATTCCAGAAGAAAGTAATCACGCTCACTTCGGGGGGATTATCTTCCCAGTGGAGCGGGATGACGGTGGCGGCAGAGAAGAGTGCGTAAGAGAAAAGGTAAGGAGCTCGATGTAAAGTGAATGCGTCTCGATAGGCTTGAGCCAAACGGTAGATCTGCATCGCGGATGAGATACATCTCTGTTTTATTGTATCCTCATTTAGTGCAATCTCGTTAAGATGACCGTCACGTAGATATGGCCGGTATAGCAAGATGCCGAGGGTGTGGAAAGTCGTACTACGCGCCATTAGATAAAAGCCCGTAGTTCTGACTTGATATCACTTACTGAGGATAAAACCTGTGAGGTGGCGGAGCAGGATCTTTAGCTGGATCATACTGCAAGTGTTCAGGGAGCTTTGAAAGCCAATCATCAAGTTTCGCTTGAACCGATGCCAATTCCTGCAGCACGGCTTCCTGGGACGAACTCTTCAACTTTGGTGTGTAGAATCTGTCGACAATCTCAGAGGTTATCTCTGCTAGACGGAGCAAGGCATTTCTGTTTGTGACGTTGTGTTTAAACTGCGGCGTATACGAATGAACATTCTGCGCACTCAACGGATCCACAGATGGTGACCACAGCTCCAATTCATCGTAGGTATCTAGAAGTTCCTGGGGCGGCTCGAGACCAGGGATAAGATGGAGGGCAGGCTGCCTTCCGAAATATAGAGATTGAAATCTGTCATTCATGTAGGCGCCCCAAAGTACACGACGTTGCTGCTCAATGTCGATTGAAGTGAGGGAATATGTTGTTTCCGCAGAGCTCAAGCTGGCCATATGAACCTTTTCAGGGTTAACGTGCAAGCCCAAGTCGACAATCATGTGATAAGCAATCCCACAATAGAGCCATCCGAGGGTTTGCTGGCCTCTTGTCAGTAGGGCCGAGCCCATGACAATCAGGGCGCTCACACTTGCAATGCTGGATTTCTGGATTCCTGAAGCCAAAAGTGCTTGAAAACGATTAAGAAATCGCTTTCCAAGAGTCTGACTGTCTGATGGATCATCCATGAGTGTGATCCGACCACTTTGCAAGGAGCCTGTGTAGAAAATGGCATTAAGCAAAAGCTTATTAACATAGATCCCACCAGTGGCAAGGCTGTGCATTATTGCTGGTCTGTAAGTTACTAGATATGTATTGTGTTGATGGTTCCAGTAGAGATCAAAGAGTACCAAAGCCGTTTCGAAATCCACACCATCAAGGTCAAATCTCCTCTCAGTCATGTACGCTTGTTCCTTCTGTCTTTCCAGTGATGTATTGGCAAACAGTTGAGTTCTCCATTCTTGCTCCTTGCGTTTTCTGTCCGGAGCAGATAATGAATCCTTTCTTGCGTTTGAGGAACTGGCCTGTGATGTTGGCGAAGCTGGTCCTCGGAAGGAAGAGGTTGGTCCATGAAAAGAGAGGCCGATGTCACTCTGAACCAAAGCATTCATTTCCGAAGGTTCAGTATTATGTCTGCTAATTGTCAGACTAGCCTCGCCGGGTTCAACAATTGCGAGCGACTGTTTGGGAGAAAGTGTATTTCGGTGCTCTTTTGACAGCGGAACTCCGTCGACCTCGTTGTGCGGCCCTGTATTTTGATATTCTAAGACTTGACACAGAATATCTTCCAAATTGGTAACTTTTTTGCCCAACAGATCTATTGCCTCTTTGGAGGTACGTGGGATATGCCGACGATCTTCGCTGTACTGACACGGCCGTTGCTGTGTTTGACAAGTTGTGCAGCGTGGGCGCTCGCCATCACATTTGACCTAAGATAACGGAGTTGCATTAGCTTCAGCGCCAGTGTATCCAGAACCAGTAAAGTGTAGGCATTGTGGATGTGTTGGTCGTAGTCACCTTGCGCGAGCGACAGAATTGGCATGCTTGACACTTGCGAACACCGAAGTGACTCATGGTCGACTTGAATTGGGTCCTTGGATCCTTGGATCCTTCTCAGCTGATTAAAGAAAGGTTCGGTTGAGTCAGAAAGACGTGGAGAGAATTAAAGACGTTCAAACGTACGGCAAGGACAGTATTGTTGAGTGGAAATATCACGATTGTTTCTTGCAAACCACGTCTGATGGATGAATATGTCCTTGGAGAACCGAGGTTATTGCAGGCGACTACCCCGCAAATGATCCCAGGATCTGGAGTACCAATCTTGAACCCCGTACAGTGGGAGCCAAAATACTAACTCGTCCTTCTCCACTTTGGTGGCTTACCAGATATGTAGTAGCACTATATCAATAGCCTATGATCTCGACCTCCAGTCCTTGACATTAAGCTAGCCTCGCATTACATACGGTTAGAGGTACGGCAGTCTTTAGGAGAAATGCCAAACAACAGTAGGAGTCACTGGAAGTCCACTAACACTGCATGGAAGATGCAGTAACTAGCGTGCTTACTCATCGATTACGCGTTTCCACACATTATCTTGTATAGTAACTGAGATACACTCGGGAGTATGGTGCTATTACGTGTCAAACAGGGGCGAGAGCGCACGGGCTAGTCATTGAGAGACCCGATTGTGACTGAGTCATTCCATTCAAGTGCGTAATCTAGTTGAGCGATCCTGCCGATTTGTCCCGGCTAATGATATAGCCTGTTCGGTTGATTACGCACGGTATCATCCGCCATTACAGAGTACATACGGTGTCAAGTCTTTTCCTAAGGTTGCGTTTATTTCGTGTTTTTCGTGAGGTTTATTTAGCTATGGTCACATGACCATAGGACGGCTTTTCTGCCGGTCCTCCTAGCCACTTCCATCCTTAGCCATCGTCGAATACTATCAAGCCTCGATCAATCCCTTTCCAGAAGCTCTAGTCTAAGAGTATTACGGCTACGGCCACCCCTCCAGGGTTTACATCTGTCAACGGAGTACAGCAACTTCATTTCAGGGTTCAGCTCATTTCAGGCTATTAGTCACTATTGGCTCCCGTTTTTTTGGTGAAGAGAATTTCGGTCCACTCAAACAGCTCTCGCAGTTTCCACGCCCACTCAAACTGTAGCCTCTTTCGTGGCAAAAAACCTCAAACGTGACAGTACAGAGTGAAATCGAATAAAGTCCTGGACCGATGGTCACCTACGTTAACTGACTCCTTTTCAAAGCAACACCGTAGGCTTTCTCGCCTATAGGTATTTCGAAGTCACCTAGAGCTGACTATCAGCCTTCGCAGTCAAGACCTCTGGTACTGCAACAAGTTTTGTTCTCCTCATAAGATACGGATCGTAAACCGCGGGAACATGTCCTCCGCGGGGAGCGAAGGAACAATTGCTCATGCAAATATGTCTCGCTCTTGTGATTCTTGTCATCAAAAGAAGGTTAGGATTCATATACAACTGTCTGAGCAAGGATGATCCTGAACGAGTTAAAGATCCGTTGTGATCGTAAGAAGCCTATATGTGAATGGTGCGAACATCGACATCTCCAATGTACCTTCACTCGCCCATATCGCGTGAAGAATACGAAATCGTCCCTGCCGAAGTAAGATACTCTTTTGCCCCCCCCCCCCACCCGGCGGAAAGAACACTGAGTGACCAGTACTTTAGACAGATTCAAGAAAACGAACTTATCGATCATCCATACGCGACCAGGCGAGGTGAAGCTGCTGATTCTACCTCGAGCTCTCCAATGATAAATCCTGTCCTGAATATGAATGAAGACTCGGAGACATATATTTCAGATTTGCTAGACAATCTTCAAGCAAGTCTGTGCAATTCAGTACTGTTTCCCGGCAGCCAAAAATGGATAGCAAGATGTACATTGGGAGGGCGGGTAATGATACGGCCAGAGTTTCCTAATAACCCTTTTCAACCATTGACTACTTCCAAGTCTATTCAGCAAGGAGCTGATCTGGGTATGAGACTTTTATCACAACCATTGGTCCAAAAGTGTTTGATCTTGTATAACTCTACGAGAATGGTTCGCACTTTTCCGATTATCGACACTCCTTGCTTCCAAAGTACAATCATTGCATTCTTCGAAGGTCATATATGCCGCGCTTCTGAGGCTTGTCTTTTTGCATTCACCGCTTTTATCGCATATCATTTCTCTGAAGTATCTTCGCTAATTGACTTAGAAAAATGCGAATTACAGGCTCAGAGATTGGTTCCCGAGATTATAGCTCAGCCAGCCACTTTTGATGGGATTCGAACCATGTTGATGCTGGTAAGCTTATTAATTTCGTAGTTCTGTCGGTTCCAACTAAGGTTTTACAGGCATTGGGCCGCGGGTGCTCGGGAGACTATGAGGCCATACATGCGTATGTGGGCAGTGCCGCGCGAATGATATACTCGTTAGGCGGCCACCTCAACACCAGAAGCCACGCCAGGGATCTTTTCTGGGTGACCTATTTCCTTGATAAGGATTTGACACTGCGAACCGGTCGACGACCTGCTATCTCCGACGAACACTGTGATTTGACACTCCCAGAGCTATATTGCGAAAGGATAATCTACCTCGACGCTCACGACCAGCCATTTCCAAGTGACTTGAGGCTTAGCCTCATAAAGTCTAAAATTTTTAACTGCTTGTATTCGAGCTCTGCTCTGAAGGGTTGCAATAGCGATATCATCAGAGCTGCTCGAGAACTAGACAAAGAATTAGAGGATTGGCGTGTTTCTTTGCCAACCGAGCATCGACCATCACTTTCCCAACGTGATTATTCTCCCTGTGAGGAGATTCGTTGGATTTTCATACAGTCAGAGTACATGCACTGCATCAGGATGATACACGAGGCCACGAGCAGATGTATAGTCTGGCCCGAGAACAATGATAATCTGGAGGCCCTAAGCTCCAGCCTGGCCATCTCTATTGAAGCTAGCCGTGCATACCTAACATTTCTAAATTCTGTCCCACGACAAGACTTCTCATTTGCGAGTTACTGGTAGGGCTTACAACTTCTGAGATCGGATCTCCGCTGACCAGCCTAGGGTTTTCTCGTACTATGTGGTGGGTACGTCGTTGTTGCTTTTTTACAATATCTTGCTCAATCCAGCCCATGTACGGGCCTTGCAAGATCTGGAACTGATTGGTAGAGCAACCTTTACCCTCTCTCGATTTCCTTCCAGATGGGTCTATGGGGATACAGCGGAGAAGAAATTACTCGGCAATTAATTTTTATGAATTACATATCCTTGCCCAAAAGGTTATTTATTCCACGCAAAGTGGATGATACCTGGCTACAGCGGAGGAAAGTCTCGTAGAAAACGGTGGCTTACTTTATTCATTAATGATTAGTGTATTTCGCTAAAGATGAAGATTTTTACACATCTGATGACTCGCTGGATAATAGCGAGATAGAAAGGTTCTGATGAAAATGGCTGTATTGTGCACGTGTGTAAGAGGGGACAACTATAATCACTAAGTAAGGGTTTCGGGGTGACGGCAACCTAGTTATCCAGCAGAATGAACCCATTCGATTGATACAACGTCGTGAAGTGTCTAATCTCCCAGGAGTTTGATGCGTACGAAACCGGACACACTTCGAAGGCTATTATATGGTCAAAGGGGGTCGACTTGAATGAACTGTAACCTACGCGTTGGTTACTGTCGGGATATATCCTCCCGTCAGAATAAGCAAAGACATGCTGTACGTAATCTTGCTAAGCTGCGGCTCCCACCGCATGGATTCAGGGGTATTTGGCCTTGACCGGACACATCTATCATATACACGAATCAATCAACCTTTGCTTTAGAAGCATAAACTGTTCACTTAACTGTGTACACAGGACCTAGCTGGTGATACCAACAGTTACAGTGCAGTACTAATTCCTCAAGCATTAGGCTTCCACCAATCTGTCTGTCACGCGAACACTAGTAAGGTCTCTTGAGCAATCTATTTTGACGCGTTACTTTTCCAAAGAATCAGAAATCTTTGAGTTTGCAGTTAATTGGACTGAAATTGGAGATCAAAGAAGCAAAGATTCTACTGAGAATAGCTGAGCGGCAGGAGATACAAAATAGATATCTATGCATGATATACTCCACCCATCTCGAGATGATAACTGGTCTTGAGCGATAGCCCTCTTAGTGACCTCATTTTGTGCCAGCTCTTTTCGTGCTCCTGTATAAATTACGCGTGAATGTGGGAAGAGATTGTGCCCTAATTCCCATTTTTAAAATTATCCGCTACTATCTGAAGTTATCAAGGAAAAACGATTTACGGCCAAGTCCAATCTTTGCCTTCTATCCGCTGGTAATATGTTTGAGGGGCAGATACCTGAGACTCAAGTCCAAGTTTTGGAAAATTATTGTACATTTAAAGCGAATCTGTGTTACCGAGGTCCTTAAAAAATCAAAGGGAAGTCCACAGCTAGCAAGACGTGTTTTAGGCCAAGTTGTTGCCAGTCAGACAACGTTCATTGCGCTCTGATTGCTTGGTTGTGGCTTGAGAATTTTCATAAGATGGCAGCTCCTGGAGCTCCTGGTAACCTCCAGCTTTCAACATTGATGTTGGAGCTACTCGCCCGTATCGTAGATCTGAGGTGCTAGGTATACTGTAGGGATCACTATTCCCAGCTGCTTGATGATCAGATGGGTGATGCGTTGTGGTATGGTCATCAGGCGCCCGGGAACTTCGATGGTTAAACCTAGATGCCAGTCGTATATCCCTGAGACCCTCACGCCTCTCGTTTTCACGGCCCCGGAAATGGAGATAAACGAAAACAATGATAGCGGCCACCACGATCCTAAGTAAAGGTTAATTTAGAGCGAGTTTCTTTGATAATTTTCACTTACGCTCCTGATATGGCTGCCGGCACGCCGACAGTGAGGACTTGGCTCGTAGGCTTCTCGCAGCTCGAAGCGCTTGTGTCCCCATTGCATTCCCTTAAGACTATACGGGAAACCGTTGAGAGCTTCATCTCAAAGTATGTGGGCAAGGTCCTCAACGGAATTGTAGTGCAATAATTGACGCGTTAAGATTCCGGAATTAATAACAAGTGATGTTGTATAGCAGACCATTATAATAAAGGGGTCAGCTTAATATCAAGCTCTAGCTTTTCTCTATTTTTGCTTCTCACGTTACATAAGCGGCAGCGGATATCTAATCCCCGGTGTGATCGGGAAAATCATCCGTATTTTGTCTAGACTGCTCTAGCAGGCCGCCTATTGGATCCACCCCAAGGATTTTTGAGGCCTGGCCTCCTTACCTTGGAGGCTCCATGCGAAAATCTATCACTCCCAATAGATTGGAGCGGTCGTGATGGCGTTTTTTATTGAGTCCCATTGCTATTTTTACCCGATATGTGAGTATGAGACTATTGGGGACTACGGAGGTCCATTCAAAGAATTCTTGCGCAGCCAGCTCCACCTATAACTACTAGTTTAGTTATACTACTGTATAAATACTAGTTCTATTACTAATATTTGCTTTTTCAACAATAATATTACCCCTCTTTGCCATCCCCGCCCTCAAACCCCCTATTCATCGCTATTACCAACCAATATGCCACCTACTACTATTCCCCAGCGTGCAATTGCTATAAGCCTTATTACAACAGGGCAGACCTTTGCCCAGGTCTCAGAACTACTAAATATACCTATTCGGACGCTGCAAAGCGTATACGCGTGTGTAATTAAACGTGGTTTTGACCTATTCTATCATCCCCTAGTTATACATAACCATTTTTGTAAGGGGACTAAGGTATCAGCTAGCAACTGATTGGTCAGGTAAGGTCAAAGGAATAAGCGTAGTTCAGAGGGTGCACAGATCGACCTGGGCAAGGTTTGATGGTGATACGAAGACTGATTCTTGACAAGATATCAAAGAATCAAGAACTGGTCGTCTACTTATGTATAAGATTCACTTGTCAGAAAGGAATCTGATATGAATTGAATACGATTCTATTGCGACATCCCCCTGTTACATCCTGTACCCGATCGGAATACCACTCCTTTTGGCTTATAATCTCTGTCGTTGAGTAATCCTGATGATTGGGTGCTTTGCGATAAATGTCGTCCTGTTATCTTGACGACAAGAGGGGGATTCGGCTGCGGATCGATGCCGACCCGAGATTGTAGGATTAGTATCAGGTGACAGGGGAATATTCCGTGACAATTTTGTTGCTGATACGCCTTAATCAGTATAGCCACGAAAAATTTTATGTTAATCTGGCCGGTGAAATAAGCTCCAAGAATATTTTGATATCAGCTACAACAGTATAGTATATATTAAAAAAATTAGGTCTTCAGAAAACAAAGCTAACTCAGAAGCCTAGATCAACACAGATAATAAATTGTAAGGGGACTAGGGGGGCCGGCTAGGAACGGTTGACTAGGCAAATAAGAATAAAGCTGACAATGAGAGTAGATTCAAAGACTGATTCTTGAAGACCCTTCAAAGAATCAAGATACTATCATCTGCTTGAATAGAGAAAGGGGTCCCCGTCTCGTTCTTGAACCAACTCCTATTTAGGACTGAATCAATATCGTAATCATATTGTTTCCTCCGATATTGCCGCCGGGATTTAAGGCTCGTCAGAATAGCGTTGCGAGACCAATCAGAATAGACATCCGCATCCGCGTCGAACCGAGAGCTTCTTCATATCCCGTGACATAAAATCACAATAACTTGCAGGTGTATTTACTTATCACTATTAATCTCTAGAAAACTTTAAAGATATAATCTAGCAGATAAAATATTTGTAGTTTTTCTCTATAGGTAAGAGAGTTTAGTGTACCACAGAAAAGATATTTATTAAGAGTCTAATTTAACCACAATAGAAGAATACTCCAGAATCTATATTTTGGGGATGTTTCTCTTATAATAAGAAAGGTCCCTTTTATTGTTGGGGCCCAGAGACCGCTAAGAAAAGAAAAAGCTCTAAGATATTAATTCAGAAACAGAATTCCGACCTAGAACCAGTTATATATAAAGAGTGGGAGCTCTCTAATGGAGTCTGAGGTCGAAACTTACGTTAACTACCAGGTAAATAACCACAATAGCGATAAAATAAGAAGTTCGGAAAACTAGATAGAAGAAAAGAAAAGAGTGAAATCAGTTCGTATTGCTATTATGTAATTATTTTGATTTCTAAGCTTTTACCTTTTGTGTAAAATTGTATAGTTGAGCGGCCAAATACTATCAGCAGTATGTTTTCAATATTACGTGGGTATAACGGCTGTTATAGCTTAGTAATTCACCTGATTTGAATATAATTAAGCCTTGCTGGCTATGGATAAAGTGTGTAATCACTAAAAGAGGTGCACCAATATCTTAGCAAGAAGTAATTTGTGGCATGGAATGAGCTACCCCAGTGGCGTATTTAGCGATGGATTAAGCGGTTGCCACGCTATATTGAGTAGATTTTTAGACTAGAGGGTGGCAATGAGTATTGAGAGGGCCGGTATGACGACAATACTCGCTAGTGTCCAAATAGGAATAGCTTCAATTACTAGTGGCGTAAGAACGTTTTGAAAAGACCAATGTATTGGCAGACTTGGCAGGCTTGGCAACTTAGGCGCACTCTCAACAGATTTCCGGCAGGTCTATCGGCAGTAAGAGATCCAGTCTTATCTGAACGCAAGATCTAAAGGGTTCGTAGTAAAACAAAGAGAAATATAGAGATTATGGCGCACCCGGTTTTTCAGTCACTATCTGGTTAAAAGAAATTGCGACATCTATGAAACAACGGAAAAATCTACATGGCCGCTACCTTTTATTCTACTGTGGAACACGCGGCGTAGTTGCCCTGCCGATGCGGCTACAGTATCCAGTCTACATACAGTACGTACGCATGCGGAATTGCGGCTCCACCAGTGTGTGAATCGCACCCGAAAATCATTAGAACCTGATGCATACTCTCCGGCTTTTCCACATCCGCTTATGTAATACAATACCCGCAAATAGGAAAGACACGTAGAGCGGTGTGGGCCTTATCTTTATGCGACGAATGGTAGAGAAGGAAAGTCTGAATTGCAAAACCAGCTGGTACCATACAAATTTAAGGAATAACAGATCGGTACAACATTACAAAATTCCTCAAACGCTTGGCAAACATTAAACATTACGCGTCACGTAATCAAATCCCGATCCACCCACTCCTACACCACCGACAGAAAGACGGCAGGCCCCGACGTAAGCTGATTATGTACCAAGTTATAATGGCGAGGGGAAACTAGCTGATAACATGTTTCCCTAACAAGAAATGGAAAATAGCACTCCGGCCATATATTGTATTCCGACAGGATGAGGAATTGATGTACTGGCTCGTACTGAACACTTCCAATAGAGTCACAGAAAATCTAGTGAATATCAAGGAGCGGCATGATTCGTACCCTATCACCTACCTAAAAGGTTTTCACACTCCGGCCTACTTTTACATGAACACCTGCGCTTTCGTGGACGGCGATCGCACGCCAAATGTTAACATGAGTGGAGCACCTAAATCTCCCTATATCATTTGGATGTCAGACGAGCAGAGGCCAGTAACACTCAATCTGACTAATGTTTCTCAGGTCCTGCAGAAAAAAAATATCATTCTGGTAAGTTCCTTTGTGTCAGATTCTCGGTATATAGTTCTGGGACAGGCACCACATGGACCTCAATACGAAAGTCAGAACCTTCATTGACAACCACACCGGCTTTACAATGGGTAGGTTCCTCTGAAAAGGGAGTATCCTTCACAGAGTCCATAGTTAATATTTCCGCGCCAGAGGACGAGGCTTCTCCAAAATGCGGACAGAGTATCTCCATCCACCCACGGGTTCTTCGCGGGCAACTTGGTTGCGAATTTCATTGTGTTATTATGCGGCATGACCCGTTCTAACTGAGTTGGAAGTGGCAGTTTTCTGACGGTTAATCTACCCGGGAGAATCTGTGATGTACATTACTCCCGCTGTTTCAGACCCCGCTCCTGTCCATGACACAGCCGGGGCTAGGAACATATGGGCTGGCCCTGGGAGCCCTCACGCTCCTGGAATCCTTTTCCATGATCAGGTATCTCGCAAGGGGATTTGAGCAAAGTATTCTTTCGGACTACGATACGTCATTATAGTAGAGGATCTTGCTCCAGAGGAAATTCTTATGGCAGGAAGCCTGGTCCGCGGACCTCAATTAATGCCGTCGCTGACGACAAAACCAAATATGGGACTTCATAACGCCGACCCCGGGACTCAAAATCCTCCAGGGCTCTTGACATAGGTCCAGTATCCAATTGGACGTCACTAGGATCACGGAGAGAGGCTCTAGGGTAGGTCTTTCTGCTATTATAGATATACACGAGTCTAGACGGAAGAGAAGAACACTTAAATTGGCTAGAGCCATCTGCTTCTTTTGGAAATATCGAATATATAATTTCTCTTTACTCGTGCTAGTCCTTGCAGTTCATGGTGGAAAATACCTATCTTCATCATCCATATTCATCTGAACCGCGTTGTGGCGCCTTAGCTAACAGAATTGGGGAGGCATTTAAAAGTCCGTGGCGTTTCCGAGGCCTCTGAGTAACACTCGAATTCGCATACCTAGGTACTTAGCATTTCTGGGGAGCTTCGTAACCTATGGAGCCCCAATAGCTGTCTATAATTAGGCTCACATCTTCCCCATCCACAGCTATTGAGATACATAGCCGCATCACGGTGTGAGAAAAGTAAATATATATTCTCTTGACGCTTCGTTTGTATATTTTCTCATGTATGCTCCTATTAATGAATATAAAGCCACATATCAATTTCTTTCATAACCTCATGATTTATGAAAATCGCAATATACCTCCCGCTGCCGTATCGCTGAACAATAAACCAGTGTCCTTCGCAACTCAACAATGCCAGAGTAATCTATCTAGCAAAAGGAAGAAAGTATTTTTCTGTTTGTCGCGAGCAAGCTGTAGCTGTGCTCGAGCCGTGCCTTGTCAGTGTCGGCTTCTGCGAGCCGTTCCAGCTCTACCACAAAGTCGGCCACCAGTTTAAAGTGATCCATTTCACGGTCAAGTAGTCTTCGCGAAAATGTGCGTTCCATCATGCGTGAAGCCATTTTGTGAGTGAGTGGGGATCTAGTAGATTTTGAAGGATGCTGCAGAAAATGGACAGAAGAGCAGAGACGGGGTAGAAGATCAAAGTCCTAGACAGATAATGGTCAAGATCAAGGACGCCACTTGAGATTAGGGGAATGGACATATACCAGAAGGTTCCATCATCCGGGACGTGCTCTGCAGCTTGCAAATAGCAAAGGGCCGAGCGACTAGCTTCCACTGATAGCGCTAGACTGGAGCTGACCTCGTACGTCATGCCGGTTCCTTCCTGCCATGCCTTACATCGACTGCTCGCCCGGTGAATGATGCTTATACATGGGTAGTAATTGAGTCGTAACATGACCGAATGCATACTGATGTTAGGATCGGATGCCTCGGGTGAGAAGGAAATCGTGGGACGCCAATGTGGCGGAAGTGATAGTCGCCAGGCTTCTAAATCTTATCTAATTCTCGGATCGACTTAAAGAAATCGGCGTCGGACTTTCCTAAGGAAATGTCAGAATACAAGGCGCTGTAGAGATCCACTGGATCCCCGCACATGTGGGTGTGCCGGACAACGAAGCAGCCGACGTTGAGGCTAATTTGCTGCGGAACACAGGGGTGGGGTGGGGCGGACTATCGTGGGGCTTAGGTCTGATTAGCCTCATCCGCGCGACGCTGGGTGCGGCAGCGGATCAGATTGAGGTATTTCCTATTCAAACACAGTAACCAGAGAAGGAAGGGCAATCAATTCAACGTAGGTCGGTCTCACTGCGATAAGAGCAGCCATACGCCGAGGGATGCCCTCATCCAGTGCCCGTAATACGCCAGCCTGAGGAAGACCATACTGAATAAGATCTGGTACAAAACCGACCTTAGACGTACTATTGACTACAACAAAATTGTATCAAACTCGCAGGCCATTCGCTACATAGCTGAATTAATACACCGGACAGGACTCCTCGGTCAATTCCGCGACGTAGAATACGAGGATGTTAACGCGAACATAGACACGCTTGAAGGAAGCGGGCACTCAGGAGTGAAGACAATACGTATAAGGAAGAATACTGTCAACTGGCGGCTACGAGATATTATGCAGGCTAAGAAGCTACTACTTTATGAAGGAATAATTACAGGAGGAACCAGGGCGTAACTGAGGTTGCGTCTGCGGCGGGCATAGAGAGAGTGGGATAGGTCACGGGGAGTGGCCACAAGGCGCTGCGTGAGCTGGCAGTAGTTGATTGTATTTATTGTGGGAGTTTTGTTACCGTTTGGGGGAGTTACTACTTGTTTCTCTATAGCAATACACCGTATCTCCTTTATCTTTGGTTACCACGGGTGTGGTGTTAAGATGGTTCTGGTTCCCGATAGAGAGAACACCTACATAGCCACGGCGCTCACTAGCTAGGCTGCATTAGGTGAATAGAATCTTGGATTTAATTAGATTGAATTGAACAAGGCGCTGTGTGCCCTTGACTCGATCATGCTTAGACGCAGATCGAAGAGAAATACGGGCTGGTCGAAGTGTACATCTTCCCTTTCGACATCTTGGCGAGCTTGATCTATACAGCCCGGTGGAAGAGTCAAGTCGAAATTCTCATCGGCAATGGTAGGTGGCTGTCGGATGCGAAGCGCCACATCCTTGTCAATGATATGTTCTATTCGGGATTGTTGCGGAGAGCCCCTCCCCCCTTGCGTCGGGTCCACAATATTCCGTGCTTGTAATCGCACACAGATATTGCTCGTATATCCTCTCCTTCGAAAGGAACATCGCCGTTTCGAAGGAGAGTTGGGCTCTCTTCGCAGCGGTTTCTTCCCGCCCACCGCAGAACCCCTCATGTATGTACTAAGTATGCTTCCGCATAGCTTTACTTCCTCCTGAAATATACGGAGTGCTACGGGCCCGCCTGCAGCCCTCGCGGCGCTGTAGTCTTCTGTCAAGGAGACCTACATCACCATGTTCAGACTGCAGGTGCCCCGTACGGGCCAATATCTCACGCGTCTCCATTGTAGCAATGTAGCAATGGCTGGAATAGAAAGTGTAGCAAATCCAGAAAATATTTCGCAGTAATGGATGTCTTTTTTTGCCGCACAGACTTGAGTTCATTCGGACATCCACCACATTTGCCCCAAGCATAAAGACTAATCGCGCCGCAACCGCAGCAAAGTAGTTCGTTGCTCTCATATTTCCAGATGATAGTTCACACAGCTTCCACGGTGTAGCCCAATTGTTAGTATAGTCAAGTATCGTTCTCAGTGACCAACCTTACTAGCATAGTTACTGCCTGTACTCTCCAAGGATGCCGGTTCCTGCAGTACCTGAGAGAGTAAATTCGGGCCCTAATAGCCATGTTATCATGGTCGAGGGGAGTGGTTATTGAGGTCTTCACGTGGGCTTGTACGAGCGGCAAGCGAGCGGCAAAGGCAAGGAACGCGATGATACAAGCTCGAATGCTAGCTTGTCCAAATTGGAAGTTATTCGATGGCTGTCGATAAGCCGAGAGCAAGATTTTCTCGAACAATTCACCATCAATGACAGGGAATAGCCTCATCATCAGGCGGGAATTTTTTATTCTTCAAAGTAGAGTTGAACAATTTACAAGTCGGGTAGCCCAAAGGTGTCATGAGTTTGTAAACTCATGGAGATATTTTTTTATGCAGCGATTGAATAGGCGAATCAATATTAGCAAGGTTTATTGCTTCCGTCAAGTACCGTTCAATGCTCCCAGCATCAGCGATGGCCGGATCTTCTCTCCAGGGATACATGTACCATGGAAAGCCGAAGGTACAGTGGCGTAACAAAAGTTTGCATATAGCCCAGGGCGGTCAGGCTACACCGCCTACACTCACTAGTAGACCTCGCCAAACGCGGGTTTGGGGTTGGGTTTTCAATTTCCTTACCCGCCCACGGGCAACCCACCGCCAGTTTTGATTAAGTGATGCTTCAATGTTCATGTTATTGAGGGTAGTTGATCGTATGTTGTTGTGTTGCCTAAGATACAAGTAAAGTGAGAGGTAGGTCAATGTATGCACGTGATTCAGCCTCATTATTATCTCAGCAACCGGGATATTCCAACAGGTTTCCCGGGTGAGTTTTCGCGGGCGGGTTTTGGTGAGGCCAAACTGTAATCTTTCATTTTGTACACGTGACAGATCCTAGTCGACAGCTATGTACATTAATCGATGCAATCCACATCGCACATTCCGTTTCATCATCTCATTTCTTGCATCGAGCCAATCGGAACAACACAATTCGCACAGTCAGCTCCGCTCCACCGCCAACGGAGTCTAGTGAAAAGAGGAACCTTGGGACATAAGGCTCCAGGGTTCTTGAAAAGCGAATGTTTGTAAGTGGATCTGGACCTCGGGAGACCGCCAAGTCCGCTTATATAACTGCTGAATAACCGGACTTAGCATATACGTAAAACTAGTTAGCTAGTGTAGTGGAGATAAACGTTTGATACAGGCAAAACGCTACGATTGGTCAGATGTAGAATATGTGTACATAGAAGGCTAGCTCTATTTGGATTGATGGGTCCTACAGTATGTCTTCATTTCGGAAAGAGGAATAATTTCAATACACATTTCACACTCTCGCAATTGGTCCCGCACTCTACCAGAGCGCTAGTGTTAATCACCGCAAATCTCCATCGGTGCCTCCGACCAATCACATTACATGGCATGCCGTGACGATCAAAAAGGTCGGCGCCTTCCATCCAACTTCTTGTTTCGGGACGATCTTGGGCCCCATCTCCGAGGAAGGTACATGGTGGTGGTGGCGGTGTCTTGATACCTTATCTATGTCCTATTCGACCCACACGTCTGATCATTTCGCTTCGAGCCTGCCCGCTTCACTGTTTATGTATGTAGTTAGCGTTAGCCTGTGGCAGGCCCCATCTGGAGGTGTGGGCCGACGACGATCGATTCTATCTTAAACCAATGAGTTGCATTTGGGTGACGAACGAGAGGATCAGCGCGTCATATATATGGATCAGATTACGAATTGCCAATGTCGCCAAGTACCATGGCATCTTGGATGCAAATACCACTTCGTAGGGTGGATTCAGTTGAACAAGCGAACTTGTTGCAATGTTGGAAACTGGGATAAAAGATGAAAAGCAACCCCGAAAAAGACATAAATGGAGAGAACCCCCCTTTTCAACTTAAAGGAAACGAAGAAAAGGGAGACAGAGCTTTCACTCAAGCAGACACTGGCAGTACTTTCAGTAACCCTCAACATGTCATTCACAACTTTATTTGTTTACCTCTTGTCTCTCCTGGCTCTAGTGGCCGGTATGTTCTCCAAGTAACTTTATTTATTTCTCTCGCTTAGTTACTGACTTACCTGGATCAAAAAAGAAGCACACCCTCCAAAGTCGTTCAACCCGAACGAGCTGGCTACTCATGCTGAGGTTAAGAACAGATGCGGTCCCCATGTTGTTGCTCAGAAAAGAAGTCAGCGGGCTCTCCGCCGTCGTGGACTTTCGGTTGATGTGAATGACAGAGAAACTACCTACGAAATCCACGCCAGTGCCCCAAAGTACGATTTCATCAAAAATTGGACCAATATTCTCACCCCAGAAAGTAGCGACGGGCCATACTTCTATCCTCGGAGTCAGAGTCTTCGCCAGGACATTCGCGAAGGCCAGCCGGGTGTACCCTGTCCTTGGAGATTGGTGTGGTCGACATCAATACCTGTGAGCCCATGGAAGATGTGCTGGTGGATATTTGGGTAAGTCGGTTATGCTATATGACAGGCTCTAAAAACTCTTAAAGGTCCCTGACTCTCTACTTGTAGCATTGCAATGCGACTGGGTCATACAGCTCTTTCACTGGGCTTTCTCCAAATACGCCCTTTATGGAACTATACACCAATGCGTCGCACGGTGGCTCTTTGAATATCACGGAAGGGCTTCCGGATCTTTCTGTATGTGGCAGTATCATCAAGATCAAATGACGACATGTTGCTAATAATACAACAGTGGCTTGCGACAGACAACACAACTTTCCTTCGTGGCATGTGGCCGACAAATAAACAGGGTGTTACATCTTTTACTACGATCTTCCCTGGGTTCTATGTATGGATCCCCAGAACCTTCGTCTTGCTTTTTACTGACCATCGCATGTAACGCTACCAGGTTGAAAGAGCGATCCACATCCATGTCCAGGTGCACACGAACTGGTCAGTGGTTTCGAACGGCACCATCAGCCACGGCCCAATTGTCAGCACCGGCCAAATCTTCATTGATGAGACTCTTGAGAAGGAAATTATGGCCATTGAACCGTATGCCAGCCATACTCAGATTGAACGTGTTCCCAATGACATAGATGGAATTTACACTACCGAGTCGATTAGTAAGTTTGCTATTTCCATTCCTATGAAACTAAAGCAAATCCCTATGTCAATTTCAAATCATTGCGTAGGCCAAAACCTGCGTGGTGTTGACATATTCGTTTATAGCTGGGGCAATGACTCTCCTAGATACCGAGCCTCTCGACGGAGTCGATTATCGTAATGGTGTTATAGGATACATCACGTTGGTAAGTATTCCAATCGATTTCTATCTACAGAGATTTTCTTGTGTCTTTCTTGAATGACCATTCTAACAATTTCCAGGGAGTCGACCCTTCCTCGATTAAAAACGGCTCAACCGTTAACGCTGGTATGTGATTTGAATCAAAGCCAAAGTCTCACTTCATGGAGCGGGGATATAGGACTAACATGTGCGCTTACAGCTCCTGCTGCTGTCAATCTGACAGCCCTGGGTATTTGATTTGTCTCATCCACCGTATAGTCATGGAGGGATTCACAAGACTAGCCGTGTTTTTGTCAAAGATCTCGGTGCTTCAATGGAGGTAGATATCGGAAATCTGGAGAGTGCATTGAAAATAACGAACAAGAAGTTGGGCCTCCTGTAACCTAGACAACTGAATAGTTTGAATGAGGGAACCCCCTACCCTTTCCATCTCTCTCGATAATCTCAATACTATTCATATTATCATTTTCTCCTTCTTTTGATACATTAACATCGCCACGCACCTTTTTGAAACAGAAATCATACTGTAGACAGTTACCAGATGCAAGAGGCACTGTTTGTAGCTAGCTAGGGTCTTTCATCCTGTAGTATTCAAAATTCTTACAGGCGTCCCGAAACACCAATAGGTGAGCTTGGTACGCTTATTTGCCTCTATTCTCTGCCGACATATCACTTTGGTGACGCCCCACTTGAAAATTAATTTTAGCTTTGAGGGGCGAGGTTGGCACAAAGTGAGTTAACTTGGATAACGTCCCCTAATGCGAAGTATTTTCTATGTCGATGTCTTCTAAACCCAGCATCATCCGAGCCTCATAGAATCTCAGCCCGAGTATGACCCTCGCCAATCAAGGATTTAGTTTCATAACGAATCGTTGCTAAGGAAGAACGGTGTTCGAGTTCGTGTAAATATACCCGCAACTGAGGCCAATGTCGAGAAAAGTACATCCAGGAAAATAACAGTTCGTTCAGTAATTACTATAATCAAAAAGAGTTTCAGGTCGCATCAACCCTCCGGATGAGGCGATTCATCGAAAAATTAAAGATGTATTGGCACGGCAAGAAGCAAGCATGTAAATGGAGTAAGAAATTTAGAGTTCAAGACGGGCGGAGAGCCAGTGGAGCCGTCAGGCTCACCTGGGCCTAGGCCTGCCAAATCATTTGCCACATCAAGGATGTTGACAAAGGGAAACAGTAGGCAATATATATATGACTAGAAGAACAATTGATTTCCAATCAACATGGTATAGATATCTCGGAACTTATTTGATGGTTCGGCCCGGTTCGTTATCTGCACCAGCCTCATGTCACAACAGTAACTCATAAAACAGTATGGCTGTTCCTAGTAGCTCGATGAGGTACGCATGGGCATGAATATCGTCGTGCTGCCGAGTCCTCGCTTTGAAAGGTGGTTTTATGAAGAACTGATTTGATATAAAATGAGGGCTCAATCAAAAAATATTGGTCTTAATACGGAAAAGTAAGATCTGAAGATTTCATGGAGTTGTTTCGGTACCGAAATTAACTCATTTGCTACAGGAACCAAGTATTTCTCTGCAGAGAAGATGCGGCCGAGTGTCCCGAAATAGAGTATTCTCAGAGCCTATGCCTTGAAGAGGAGTTTCTAGCAGGTGGCCGAATCTACTTGAACACTCTCGGCAGCTCAACGGTCACACGCGGAAAGGACAGCCGAAGAGACGGTAGCCAAAATTGTCGTTACCATTTAGTATCATCCGTTAAATGTGCACATAATAGGTCTTAATATAAGTGAAACAGGATAATTAATAGGAGAAGCTGAGTTTCTCGACGGTAAAGAAACCAGTCTATCCGTGTGATTATCTTGCGGGGAACAAGCATATCTTTACGTCCAGAGTGGTCCCAAAACGGGTTTTCAGATCGTGAGATATTTCCTCCGACCATGATTCCCCAAGGCTGGCAAATTGCTTCTAGAATATGATCCTGAGATAGTAGTAAAGTCGTGACTCTATCGCTCAGAAAAAATAAGTGAGTGAGGCAGACATTTGTGGGTCTTGAAGAAACAAATAGCAATTTCAAAAAGTAATGCGGATAGTAGCAAGTTTTGCTCAGTTGTGAAAGCAAAAAACTAGAGAGAAAACAAAAAAAAAAACTTATCAAAATAGGTTAGGCAGATATGTCACTGTGCATAGTCACTCATATACATGGAACTCAGACCTCGATCTTGCGCGGAACCCCGGAAGAAAGACGACGGTGATGCCGTTGACAAAATTCACTATTTGATTAGCAAAATGAGTATTTAAAATTATTGAATATAATTGAATGAGGTGGCCACTGTTATGGTACCTTCTACAGTGATAAAGTACAGATCTATAGTGATGAAAGTTGAAATATATTGTTGATACTTTGCTGCGGACTGCCGGGAGTGTTGAAACAGTACTAATAGTAAGAAAAGGTTTTGATTTACTCAATAATCAAGAAAGATTTATAGGATCTCTGAATACTATAATAGATAAATTAGTAAATATTATTAATCTACAATCTGAGAGTTAGTGGTATTGAGACTCTTATAATCTATAATAATCAATTATTAATATAAAAAGACTAGACCTGTGCAAACCCATGGGCATGCTTATTGGACACGCCTATTTACAAACCGGTCTATTCATAGGCATGCCCACACTACCTATTACCTGCCTATAAGTGGGGCTTTTTGAATATTATATAACTTTTATAAAATTTGAGCATTTATGTTTTTCTTGGCAGTATAGCTACTGTATTTCAACACAGTATCCTTTGAAATTTCTGAGCCTCAGCCCTTTAGCTATTACTTATAGAAATATATTAAGTTGAATAATATTAACTTGAAAAAGAAATAACTAGTGGTACTATATTGAATACTACCTAACCTAACACCTAGAAAAAAAAACTGACTATATTTGTAACGGGTATAGCACTAAGGGACAGGTTAGATACCTGTGACTAGGCAAGACTTCAATAGTTTCCGGACAAGAATAGAGATAGATTCAATCAATACTATCAATAGTAACAGAGACTGATTCTTGAAGTTTCTTCAAGAACAAAGAGGAAAATACGTCAAGTCATTCATTCCTGCCATCACGTGAATCAGGCAAGATTCACTATCATGGTGTAGGTGAAACAAGATTAAATTTCCAAAGGACTGACTGACAAAGTGGGATAATTGCTCCTTATTGAAGCTCACCCTCTTTGACACGTATCCCGTGACAATCGTATACTATATAATCCAGTCCACTACCGTCCTTCCGATTGAGCTCTTTGCACAAGGTCAACGGGGATCCACCGAGGCCACCGTCCTCGCTAAGAAGGTTGAGAAGGCTATCCGCTGGTTGCGAGCGATATCCATTAACGATTCATCCTCACGGTGAGCCTGGCTTGTCTGTATATATATCGTCCCATTGCACGGGTCAAAATTGCCATCGAAACTTAACGTCGAAATCTAAGTTCTAGTGTTCACTCTCACTTATCTCCAGTGGTCCCGGAGCCTTGGTGTTGCTGCGGAGAAGACTCTTGTGAATAAGCCATGAAAGGGCTGGAGCCAATGCACCAACGCCTGAAGCCTTGGCCCTCGCTTGCATATCATTCGTGGGCATCTCTCTATCCATGACTGCGCGGTCAGCAATATGGACCGGCTTCATATGTTATTATTTTGGTGCGGTATTGCCAATAATACGTTGATTCAGTCCAAAATGATTTTCGTGATACTCGTCCGATGGTGCGGCGTAATTTGTCCAAGCGTTCGTACCACACCAGCGCAAATTGGCTGATTGAATTGAATTAAGTCCTCCAGCACCCTAATAGTGTTTTCTTCGTCTACACCTCCCACGTGATGAATTATTGACAAACCCACATCTCTGCTCATCGGGATCACCCAATGATCCCTAGGCATCTCTTCACCACTCTACCTACTCTCCATTAGCAGCAAGAGAATTCCTATGAGAGCGATCCAAACGAGAACTACTCAGCCAAGCCAACAACCTCGTTTTCTTTGCGTATCGCATCTGCGCCTTACCATTTCCAGGTCCAATGAGGGGTTCGAGCTCTTTTTTTATACCAAAGAATGTTTCGACTGCGACGAATGAGTGCAGGCCATGGGCTATGTGGGCGAGCATTCAGAGAGAGTGTGGCTTTACAGACTCATCCGTGACCTTGACTCGGGTAAAGCAACTCCTGGTGGAGGAAATGTGGAGTCCTCTTCCGTATCTTTTGTGAAATACTTTCAAGATGAGTCTAATATCGCCCCCCTCGAGGATGTGGATCTGCTAGGATACCCTCACCAAACACATTGCGGACCGACTAGTCGACGGCTATCTCGAGACCGTGCACTCAACATTCCCACTTATCGAGAAGACGACATTCCTACACCAATACCGTTCTTTCTACTCGAACCGGAATATGCGACCGGGAAACGATGATTGGCAAATTCAAACCTCATAATGGCCATTTCAGCGAGACATTCGCTAGTTGTGGACGAACGGTCTCTCGGGAAACATGATTAGTATGAGGTGTACTTTTCGCGCTCATGGTGGTTGGCATGAGCGGCAGTATGTTGTCAGACAATCTCGATCTGGACTTGCTGCAGATCGAGGCTTTGACTGCCTTCTACCTCCTTTCGATTGGTCAGGTCCATCGGTATGTCATGTGCACTTAAATATAGCTGCTTATATTTACATTCACATCTGGTCTTGCCTTTTCTTCAGGTCATCGAGGTTTCTTGCGGTCGCAATCCGACCGGCTATGGCGATGAGTTTCAACTGTAGCCAGAAAGATACTATTGAGGCCTATTCAGAGACTCGATATCGGGCATGGTGAGCATTATTCATGTTGGATACGACCCTATGCGTCATTATGGGCCAGCCTCCTTCCATCGGACGATCTAACTGCACACTACCGCTGCCTATTCCCTCTGAAGAGGAATTTGGAGTCAGCGTGTGGTGCAGTGTATTACCGATCAAACATCCCGGAATACCCTGATAACCTCTGTATTTGCTGGGGATCCCGTAGCACAGGCGGAAGAGCACACCTTGGATCACACAAATCCAGCACAGTATGGGTCGAACACAGAAGTGGCAGATGAGCAATCTGCTCATGTCCCATCTCTTACTCCTGTCCATAGCATATCATCGCTTCCATATCTAGCGGACTTGTCATTTCTTTACGACAGGCTATTGATACTCTGTACGCTCCTGGGGCGGCGCGACGATCATGGCTTGAGATTGAACTAGCGATCTCAACTTTCAATAACGATGCCGACAGTTGGTTCTGACATCTGCCAGTTGAGTTCCATGCCACAGAGTTAGCTGAAGCTCAGCCATTTGTACTTCAACGCATCGGCCCGGCTTTCCGTTTCTATACCTCCGAGTTAATCATCTTACAGCCTTGTCTTCGTCGTCCTACTCGGTTGCCACAACACGGGTCTTTCTGCGAAACTTTGGCGACCACATGCGTTTAAGTGGCGATGCATATCATCAACCTTTTGCCCGAGAAGGTGGACGTAGCCTGGCTATACAGGGTCACTCCGAGGTGGTGTGTCCTCCACTATATCATGCAATTGACCAGTGTTCTCCTGATTGCGGTATTCAATCAAGATCTGCTGAATCCCCGTCTTACTATCGGCATCGGCAAGAAGGTCGAAAAGGCTATCCAGTGGATAGGTGAGATGTCCACTAAGGATTCCTCTTCGCGGCGGGCTTGGCTTTTTTGCAGGAATCTTCTCTCTCGGCACGGGTTGAGGTTGATCTCGGGCTCCAGGAACCCTAGACATTTCATTGGACATGGATGTCCGTGGTTGCCCACTTATTAACCGGCCGGGGCGAAGCTCACAGTTAAGAACCAGGATTGTTAGATCAGCTGGCTTTTAAAATATTACCCCCAAGTATTTGATATGGTCTGTAATCTTAGTTCCCCATGTTGGATTTCCAAGCCTATCACCACAAGCTCCCAGTCTGCTAAGTAACTATCTTTTGTAATCTACGGGCGTGAATAGTTTGACATTTTTGTCATCAATATATCCACACGCATTGACCGATAAATGCGTCTCAGCCCTGGAGATTTTGAAGGATCCCAAGACCCAACTGCTAAGTAATTGCGAGGTATGATAAGACCAAGCCACTGAAAGCACAAGGTAATCAATATCGAGTTTCCTCAAACATGGATTTGTCGCTGCAGTCTCTATCGTCAACATTCTTTTCTTAACCGCCTGATGGCCACTGCTCTTCTGTCAGACGACAAGACTTCACATCTACTTACAGCCTATGTTTATTGAGTGTCTTGGAGAGAGGCTCTAATTCTTCGATCCTTGTAGTCCCTGGATGAGTTTGGGCATTTGTTGATGAAATATATACGCCGCGGAGCTTTATTCTGGGCTGAAAGTCATTGTGAGAATGTTTACTACAAAAAACGACCGGCTAATGGGCTTAGAAAAGCGATTGATTTAGGGGCTACATAAGAACCTTGGTTCACATCTTGATCATCGTCATTTCAGGTAGGAGACTTGTAGTATTCCTTTAATTTCCCCCCTTTTTTTGGCTCTTTGATGCAAACCTGACTTATCTGCAGTCGCAGAGGCAATATACAGGGAAGACGTCCACCATATGCATTTGCAATTCACAGAAATGTTATTTTGGGAGCAATATGTGAGGCTATTTATATCAGAAAAATCAAAATGATTTTTAATCGATTTGATTCTGCAAATAGATACTGTGAGATTTCCGATGATGCGGCTCTGTTCCTAGTTAATCTATATGTACTATACTAGCCCGATTTCTCTGCGTCAGCTATCAGCAGCTCAGCAATCCATTACAAAGCGATCAGCACGTGTCATATGCCGAGTATATGCTTTTGGCTTCTACGGTGTCAAATGTATTAGTTACATTTATTGTGGCATTTCTGCTAGATCACATTCATTACATCCCTCCTTTGCTCAGTAAAATGGCATGGTACTCTACCTGTGGTTAATCAAAGGCGCCATCCAGGGCCGGAAAAGTCTGCTTTTATCTTAGCTCATCTATCAAACATGGGTCTTGTATAGCTAGGGGCCGCTATTCTTGGCGCATTTTCAAGGGTATGGGTCATTGCACTTCAGGTAATCTTTCCACGTTTTGAGCCTACATGATGGGAGATCTGACGATACTAAGGTCTAGCTTATCATTTCCACTATGTGAGCAATGTACAATTAGTCCATTGTGTAATGTGCAATGAATGCTTCCTGTTGTGATATGAGGCTGGTGCAGATCAGGAACCAAGCCGAACCATCGGAATTAATCCCGAAGTATGTATACGAAGAACCAAGTTGATTGGAAATCAACTTGATCTTCTCGCTGTATATATAGCCTCATGTTTCCCACTAGAATGATAACACAATTCATACCTCTGAACTACAACAGTTCCATGTACATCTCTGAGTCAAATTGGATATAATTCCAAAGTATCAGCCAGTTCAAATTATCAATGCCAAATCTATTATAACGTCGGTCCCAATGATATGGCTTGTAAGTGAAGGAGGGCGAAGTGGCTACAAGTCTTGTTTCTAGCTTTCTCATGTGGACGAGAGGGTAATTTACCGATTCATAATTGTTTATGCTGGTATGTACTGCAGTATCTGGTAGATACAGCTCCGAGGCAGGAGGCAGCGGAAATCTACCACATTTCCTACCCCGCTTTTAGTTGTCACATCACAGCGATTATTTGGCTCACTTATCCTGGGGAAAATTCGGTAAATCACCGTATCCGTATTTCCGCCCCAGATCACGAGGCCAAAATGCGGATCGGTCATGTTCATCCGCCCCCGGGTTCTTGGCGGGCAACTTGATTGAGAGATTGGATGATTAAGCGGCCACTCAATTCCCCGCATATTTTGTGTCAACTGAGGGGCAGTGGTACTTTACCACGAGAGATTGGATGATTCAGCGGCCACTTAATTCCCCGCATATTTTGTGCTATATCAACTCGGGAATACTCATGTTCAGAAAAACCTTTGCTCCTGAGGTCTAATGACACTTCCACAGCAGTCTTTAAGATAGTTCAATCAACCAATAAATTGGCTCCCTGGGTACTAGGGTACACGGATTTCCTACATATCGACAGTCAACTTTCTCAGATATCTGAGAAACTCGTCTTGAAACCTTAAACACTTGATCTCCAGACTTTTACCCCAATTTCCTCGGGTCTCCGGTATGATGCGGGGATGATTACCTAAGCGGAAATGGGGAAACCTTCGGGTGCGATTCGCACCACCAAGAAAGGATGAATGTGGATCTACCGGAGTGCGACGTGAATTGCTCCCATTGGCTAATGGTTGAATGGGCCAATAATCTGGCGCGGCGATGACGATCATCAAATCCGAGCGAAAAGACTCTCCGTGACATTTAAAGATCTCGTGAACATGGAATCCGCCATTCACTGGTCGGTTAAACAACATGGCTCCTAGCACGTTATCATATCCTCTCAACGTGGACTTCGTGGACGTGGTAATTATCGGAGCCGGAATTTCTGGTATCAACTTTGCGCAACGTCTCCAAGAATCAAATCCATCATTGTCCCTGGTCATCTTGGAAGGTCGTAATTCGATAGGTGGAACGTGGGATTTTTTCAAGTATCCTGGCATACGATCCGATTCTGACTTGTACACCTTTGGCTTTTCATGGTATCCTTGGAAAGAAGATCGCGCCATCGCAGACGCTGGAAGTATCAAACGATACCTGACGGAAGCAATCAGATTTGCAAATATTGATTCACGTATCCGACTGTTGCATAAGGTGGTGAAAGCGGACTTCAGCGAAGAGAGCGCACAGTGGAATCTGACCATCGAAAATGATGGCTCTTTGAAGGTTAGTGTCTAGAGAGTTATGCGGAATGCACTGAACTATAGACTAATAATTGAACAGACACTCCATTGTCGGCACGCTGTTTTTGGTACTGGTTACTACGACTATGAGCAACCCATGAGCACCACGATTCCAGGACTGAGCGACTTCAAAGGAGAAAAGATCCACCCTCAATTCTGGCCTGAGAACCAGGATTACAAGGACAAGAACATTGTGGTCATCGGATCCGGTGCAACTGCGGTGACATTGCTTCCCAATCTCGCCAAAAAGGCAAAACACGTCACTATGCTCCAGCGCAGTCCGGGTTATATTGTGTCCATGAATAACAGGACTCCACCCATACTCAAGCTGCTCCTACCTGAGAAACTACTCTACTTCTTTCTGCGGTGGTGGTTCCTGACATCCCTGTTCTTTAACTTCCAATTCTGCCGTTTTTTTCCAGCGTTTGCCAGACAAAAGTTGAAGGAAGCAACACAACAAAAGTTGCCAGCCAATATCCCAATTGACCCTCACTTCTCTCCCAAGTACAACCCTTGGGAACAACGCCTCTGTTTGTCTCCAGACGGTGACTTCTTTGACTGCCTTCAATCTGGGAAAGCCTCTGTGTCAACTGGACAAATTCAGGGGTTTACGAAGAAAGGGATCTGCTTGCAAAGTGGGGAAAGCATCGATAACGTCGACATTGTCGTGACGGCAACCGGACTGCGACTAGTGTTTGCGGGGAAAATTCAAATCTCAGTGAATGGCCGAAATGTTGATGTGTCAAAAAAGGTCTTATGGCGGGGTTGCATGCTGGAGGATGTACCAAACGCTTGTTTTATCATGGGATATACAAATGCATCTTGGACACTAGGAGCCGATGCATCGGCTATTCTGTTTTGCCGTCTGGTGTCCAGCATGGCCCGCTCGCGACAGGCCAGTGCCACACCCCGGTTTGAGGGGAACGCAAAAGAGAGAGCAGCGATGAAGACGAGTTCGTTCTTGAATCTCAATAGCACTTACGTGACGAAAGCCGCAGAGTCCCTGCCAAAGACAGGCGATGTTGGCCCATGGAAAGTGCGACGCAACTATTATTTTGATATTTGCACAGCGAAATGGGTCACCCTGTCTGACGGCCTATTTTACAGAAGTGCCTTTGAGAAAAAGGCACTATGACGTTGTCCTGGAAAGCATTGTGAACATCGGAGTGAAGGGTCCTCCACTAGTCAGTCCCTTGAGAAAGAAAACACCATTCCAAAATCAATTCATTCTAGAACTAGACGACTAAAATTTGACTTAATTTTCTGCAAGAGTTTGCAATATCCTGCAATAATGTCAACGACCCAGGATCCGCGGTCAGAATGCGCTAGCCATGTTGAGCTGATCGCCCTCCAATGACTAAGCGGGGTACCCCAAACTCGGCATCTGGGGTCGGTAGTGTAAAACTCAATCCTCACCACACCCCATCACGACTCCTGCTCATCCCTTCTCAGAGATAGAGCGATCAAGATGGGTGCCCAAACCGACACTGAGTCCAAAGCCTGGAGTTCAGGCCGTGTGTTGACGAGTGTGCAAAGAGCACGCAAACAGAAGATGGATCGAATCTCGAAGAAACAGCTCCAACAACGACAACAAGTATACCTGGAAACACTCGAGAATCGAATCAACTACCTGGAAAGTAGTTTGTCCAAGATTTTCAGTCAGCACACCAGAGCCCCGCTAATGTCTACGATAACTCTGCTGACTCGGAATATCTGTAGAGCGACCGTTTGCCGCAGATGGCCCTATTGTGCAATCGAATGATGATCTACTTTTCCCCACATGGAGAAACTTTCCCGCAAAGCGCATTTGCATTCAACATTCAGGATAGCACAGCGTCCCACGTGCTGAGCAGCACACCAGCAAAGGACCAGCGGTCGATGCAATTACCCTTTCAAATAACCCCTGGACTCGAATATCGGAGCGAAAATGGTGGAAAAGCCATGAACTATTTTCGCCAGGCTGTCAAGATCCTCGGCTCCGTATTCAGTCTTGATCCGTCCCAAGTCTGCTCAGCTGATCATCTGAATCAGGATATACTGATCCGCGCCGTTTTGGAAGGGTGGCATATACTGCAACATGAGAATAATGTGTGTCCTCTCTGGGCTATTGTTCGGGAGATAGATGCGGGCATCAACATTCGCAGTGGATTTGCGACTAGACTCGCCATGTTGCGTGGAATGCACCAACTTTTACTTGTAAATGGTCCATTTCTATTTGGCATACAGAGGACTTACATCAACAGTGTTTCATATTTCCAGACTATATTGAAGCTTTACCAGCATGGTATCGGCCAAGGCAAGTTTGGCTTCCATTTTGATTCCTACAATTCTCCGGTCTCTAACCATCTCCAGCAGACCCTCTCAAACTTTGGTGTCCCATGACATTTTACTGGATTATTTTGCCTGGTAAGTAACAGCGCGTTTATATGTTTTCCCTTTGTTGGAAGTTATTCTCCATAAAGCTAGCAATTCTAATGACAGTATCCTAGGCCGAGCTTCCGTGAGCGATTGGTAATGCTTCACCAGCCCCAGCTGGATGATACATTCTGGGACCAATTTGCGAGATCATTCTATTTCTTCTGGTCAGATTCTTTTTCGGATGCTTATGAATATAATGCCGAAAGTAAAAGGTACAGCTTTTCCGCCGTCTTTTCCGAGGCCCTGCACGACCTATGGAGATATAGGATGAATTCGGGTTTTTTTTTCTGCATATCCTGAGACTTATGACGATATATATTGAATTTTATACTCTATGCTCTCTAATGGTACGTTCTCAGAAATCTGATCCATAAATAGTTCACCTGGTGAATAAATCTCTAATGTGACTGTTATGGTGCAGACATACCTCGGCGTCCGTTTGGTATTCCAATTAGATCCGAGTCGAATGTTGGAATCATTAACTTTAAAATGGAACTTTGATGATGGCAAGTCTTTGGGAACCTCTTTAAGCTTCAAAGCTGCTAGATGAGAGGAGGGTTGTGTAAGCTAGGAACAAATTCAATGGGAGATAAATAAAAGGAAAAAATCCTGCAGAAAAGTGAAGTAGAGTCTGTCATTCCTGTATGTACGATTTTGTCTCTTCTCGGTCTTCAGTACTTGATAGTCCGCATTTTGTTGAAAATTTAAGGTAATTCGAATATCAAGATCTTCAACGCCAGCATCTTAGTTGGATAGGAAGTGTGCAAGTTACTACCTAATGGAAAATATCTTTCAGAAACTCTAGTTGGACTTTGATGTTCTCTTCAAATGGCGCGCCATAGTACGGATCAAAGTGGCCGACACCCTTGATAACGTGAAGCTTCTTGGGACCTGATGCATCATCGAAGACCTGCAGCTGGGTATGGGTTGGAATGATTGCATCATTTTCAGCAACCACAAACAGCATAGGGCGAGGAGTGATGTGTTTGATAGCTGCCCGGGGCTCGTGTGAAACTGCATGAATCAAGCTCTGCAAAGTGGCCTTCGTTTCGTACGCATATCCTCGCCTGTCCATCTCCTTCATAAACCGCACACCGTTGAGATCATTCAGCATGGCTTGGCTTTTGCCGCTCAAGGCTTCCTCCTCGGTTTTGGGAATAATGGAGGCCATGATCGCATCCATGCCGCCGGCCACGTTGGCTCGATCTTGGGAGAGGGTATCCCAGAGGAATGCAGCCGGTTCTCTCATGACCTCTCCCGTCACAAACGGAACTTGGGCGATGACCGCCTTGACCGATTTGTTGATTGCTGCAGCGGCGATAACGTTGCCACCGGACATGCTGCTACCCCAGTATATGATATTTTCGGGGTCGACATCTGGCAGCGTTTTGGCAAAATTGAAGGCATCAAAGTAGTCCCGCGTTTGCAGAATTGGATCGACATGGTTTCGTGGCACGCCCTCGCTGTCGCCCCAGCAACGGTTGTCATAGGTGAACGTGGTAAACCCCGCGGCGACAAATCGTTCGGCAAAGTCGGGAAGGAAATGCTTTCTCAGACCTGAAAACTTGGATCTGTCAGCAAATCTGGTTAAGCGGAGTACGAAAAGCACATGTGATATACCCCTTGGCTCATGATAATGGTAGGTCGCTTCTCGCCAGCACTATACACCGTGGCCGCCAATTTGACATTATCGAAGGTGGTAAAAGTGATATCACGAGACATTTTTGGATTCGTTCAAGAGCTCGGTGGTATTTCGTTTCTGTTTCGATGGTCTGGTAGGGTGTTAGCGGGATATAACTGTTTTAAGTCTTTCAATTGAGCAGGACCGAGGAAAAGCCGTCTCCACCATCCTGATAGGTAACGATACGAAGTTTTAGTGGGTCCGATGTGCGAATCGCACCCGAGAGCCGATTAAACCTTGATGCGGGCCCTGGGGAATTGCTTCCGCTTATCGAACAGATCCCCGGTTTTGCCCCGGTTTTACCCCTCAAAACCAGGGGTCGGCATTTTTATATATGGTTAGGGGTACGGAGTAATCCCGCCCCAACAAGTGGAGGCAGTGAGATCATGAAAGTGCATGTATATATAGGTACCTTCCTGGAGGAGGGACGTTGAAATGTCCCCCGACCTCGGCAGAACAAGCAGATCTGCTGTATCCTGCCTTTTAATACATCCCACTCCCGTCGGATGTAATTCTTCAAATGTCTCGTTTTTCGTCCCAAGACCTTGGAGCTCTGATTCAAACTACGTCAAGCTCAATGCAGAGATATTTTCCAACAATGGTTGGCCTTGCCGGCTCCAGACGGATAGTGGCACCCCTTTTCGTTCTGACCGGTATGTTCATGTTGAAAAAGGCCAGCAACAAACTCTCCCTGTGGGCACACAATAACTACATGTCGGACAAGACGTGGGACTGGGGAAAGGAGTTAGTCGTTATAACCGGCGGTTGTGGTGGGATTGGTGCACTGGTTGTTTCCCAGTTGGCTGCAAAGAACATCAAAGTGGTGATACTTGACATTGTTGAGCCAAAGACTAAATTAGGTAAGTTTCCATCCCCAAACTCTCCAACTTCCACAGCTATCAAGTTCTCTGTACTGACTGGATCTCTAGAAGCGAATTGTGTCTTCTACAAAGTCGACATAACTTCCAACGAGGAGATCCATGCCACTGCAGAGAAGATCCGCGCGGAACATGGAGATCCCACGGTCCTGATCAACAATGCCGGATTTGGCACCGCGACCCCTCTGCTTCAGATCTCGGAGAACATGATTCGAAAGGCATTCGATGTAAATATCGTTTCCCATTTCCTGTTAGTGAAGGAATTTCTGCCCGCCATGGTGGACCGAAACCACGGCCACATCGTCACAGTAGCGAGCATGGGAAGCTTCATGACCCAGGCTTCCAACGTGGACTACGCCTGCACCAAAGCTGCAACCTTGGCTTTCCACGAAGGTATCAACCAAGAATTGAAAATTCTCTACAAGGCGCCATCAGTTCGGACGACGTAAGTCAATTCTTTGTCACCCCTCAGTGCGTCTGTTGAACGTGATTTGACTAACCTGTCTCATCTAATGATCAGCATTATTCATCCCAGCTGGGTACGGACTCCCATGACTAGCAAATTGAGCAACAACCCGGCATTCAAAGACTCAATTCTCGAGCCAGAAGACGTTGCGCATGCAATTGTCAGCCAGATATTGTCCGGGTACGGAGCGCAGATTATTCTGCCCGCGAGTGGTTCCTGGGTTTCCAGCGTTAGAGGGTTCCCACTGTGGCTACAAGAAAAGCTCCGCACTCAGGTTTCGTTGGTCTTAACAGACGCAATGAAGAGGTAGGAAGGTAGATTTTAATTGTGAAGATGCAAGGTCCAACGAACGACCGTGACATATTTAGACGCCGAATTCAAATTTATTAAATCATCGTCCATTCTATTTTCAACGCCTAGATTGTTAATAATGAGGCTCCGAATAACTTAATCTAGTGGATCCTGATAAGCCTGTTCAATACCAAAAACGGTTAACCAAGTATCTGCCGCCCGAGACTAGGGACTAATAATACGTCCTGCTGTCGCTGGCCGGAGTAGTATGCGTGCTATCTTCATGCAATCTGACGCTCGAGGGCGGACTAAGCCCCCCCAAGTACCGTAAACTTCGTGATATTTCGATCGGATCTTTTAAAATCTTCTAATCTGGGCTCTAAACCTTTGAAATAGTCAAACAGAAATGAGATATGCCATCGAGATAGCCCTTGAGAGATCTACAGAAATCAGGGGGTTGGAATTTTGATGGGGGATCGATAGACCCCACTTCCGCGGAAGGGCTATTCCTTATTTGGAAGAGCGGTCCTGGAGGCCTTGGCGTGCCAACAAGAGAGAGAAGTGAAAGACTAATAACTAGATAGTCACATTGACTGGCTATTTTAAGCCTTAGTACTGGAAGCTTCTGAAAATTCAATATAGATGATAGAGGTAGGTGAGAACTTCAAGAAGTCTGGCCATCTCGTCACGGAGCTCGTCGTTGCGTGGTCCACCCTCGTTGATCAATGACTTCTTGAGCAGGTCTGATGCCTCTTCTATATTCATCCGTGATAGCTTCACTACTTCGCTTATCTGATACTGGCATAAACCTAGCACCGAGCAGCTGTAAATCAAAGTATTTTAAAAATTTGATGGAGCAATATTATGCATCCCGAGTAGTCAAGTAAGGTCGCAAATTATAGAAATTGAGGTTCCGCGAGGTTTTCTGAGGTTACCCGCAGTCTCGACGAGATTATCTTCGCTGGGGTGCTTTTTGAACCTCGGGACCTCAGCCCGCGAGGTGAGGTTTCATGTTCCGGGAATCCATTCCTCCCCAACCTAATACTGCGGTCTTTTGACCGCGGTGGTGACGCTCACGGCGGGGGAGACCCTGTATGTGCCAAAGGGTAGCAGATTTAAGCTAAGCCACTGGAGTCGGTACGCAAAATTATATGTTCTTGCGAGTGGAGGAGGACTGGTGGAGTTATTCGCTCGGACAGGAGAGGAATACAAATTGCCCATCATTTCTGAAATCGAGGGAACTGTCGACTTGGCACAGTTCCAGCAGATTAGCAAGGAGATGGGGACTCTCCTGGGATGAAGGGGCGAAGGAAATACCCTAAATTGCTTTTTCCCGGAATCTCTGAACTTTAACCCCATACTTTATTGGTGACCTCACGCAGTCAAGAGGAGCAAGAAGAGTGTAGTTTGGCCGTAACGGGTCACCTGTTGCTGCGGTCGTAGACCGTAGCGTCAGATAGGGCCCAAATGACCCGGGCCAAACTAGGATGGTGGAGGGGACGGTGGTGGAATCAGCAGAGACAGCGGGGCCGGTGAGCCTATCTGGAACTGGTGATTAAGCTTGTACAGGACAGACGCGTTCGTCGTAAAATACACCCTGAACGCCTCCGAAGTCCATCTCCCTAGCATCTGGATCTGGTCGTCGAGTATCCCACTATCGTGCGCATGCTGAGCCGCGCCCTTCCGAAAGCTGTGACCCGAGTAGCCGTCTGTCTGTATCCCCAGCGATCTTAGCTTAGTATACAAGGTTGAAAGGAAGTTGTTGCGACTGAATGGTCTTCTGTGGAAGGAGAACAATGGGGCGTCGGGCCCTCTGGGGTCGAGAAGTAGCAGCTTCTGAAGCGCTTCAACTGGGCATGCGCCGTCTCCTGTCCTTGCAAGGATAATCTGTACTCCTTCGTGGCGGCGGTGCGTCTTACTGCGCTTGAGTGTGAGTTGTGCGTGGTCTAACGAGGACGAAAATCTGACGTCGGAGCGCGTTAACTTTGTGGATGAGAAGATAGAACATGTGCGGAGGTCTTCAGTCTTGTAGGTAAATTCCCCAAGGCGGAGGAACCCCGCAAATGCTACCCGGCACACGGTTGCGAAGTTCAGGTCATCTAGAACCTTTGCAGACATCTCCAAGGGCCGTAACGGGAGTGTGGCGAGGCCCGCGGATAGTTTCGTAATTGTGTCACGCGAAATCGGTTTTCTGACCCGTACTTTTGTGATAGGGTTGAGTCTTCTCGCGCCGTCTATAAGACGTCGAAAATGCTTATTATCGAAGAGTTTATCGTCAAGGAAGTTATCGATATGATAGGCTCGGAGAGCAGCTAGGTCGGCGGTCAGGCTTGACGGCCTTCTGACTAGCGCTACCAAGGAGTCGTGTGCTTAACCATGAGGTCAAGGAATGTCTTGAAACTGGCCATGCGGGTATACTTTGTAGCGCGCAGTGCTTTTCGTAATTGCGCTGAACGGAGAGGTAAACGGAACGTGTGTTGGCGCTGAGTCCGTTCCAGAGCAGTTTCAGGTGGCCTGTATTGAGCTGAGGAGCTCGTGAAGAGAACCACGTGGGTGGTTCAATACCGAGAGGTCCTGCCAATGGGGACAAATGTTAGCAATGTCTTCAAGGTTATTACGAGAGAGCGCATCTGCTAATTTATTTTCCCCGGAAGGGAGCCAGTGGGGCACAATGTGGATGTCTCTCGCCGCCGCTAGGATAAGTAGGCTCTTCAGTGGTGCGTTAGGCGGACTATGAAGGAAGCCTTTCTTTAGTCCCGTGTGCGCTGTGGAGCTATCCGTGTGGATAACGAGAGTATGATGGAGCCAATGGTGGCTGAAGAGTAGGAAACCTTGAAGAATAGCGTCTACTTCATTGGTATTGATGTGCGCATGTGCGTCTTGAGCAAGGGCCAATGTGGCAGCATTGCTTGGATGAAGCTGGTGACAATGGGCCAGCCAGCAGTCTAATGTAGACTTAGATGAAAAGAAGAAGAGCCCCTGGCCTGTACTGGAGGCATCTGTGTAGAGATGCGTGATAGTGCGGCGACAGGGGTCAATTAGAAGTACGCCGTTGAAGAGAGACAAGGAGTCCCTCCACCATTCCAAATCGTCACGAACCTCATAAGGCATACGGCGGCGCGCGCTACTCCCATGTGGGAAAGCGGCTTGGAAGGTGTATAGGGACTGTAGCCTTGTTCTTCCTAGCCGAACAACTCTTGAACAGAAGGCTAGTAAGCCTGTGAGGCGCTCTGTTTGCTTGAGGGAGAGACTCGCCGCGTTTAGGGCAGCTGCGGCGTCCAATGTGGCGCGGCACAACTTTTCTGGTGGCAGACGAGCTTCCATTGCGATAGCGTCTATCTGGATACCTAGGACTGTGACACAGGTCCCTTGCTGGTCTTTCTTAGTATTGCGAGGGATACGTAGGTAGTCGGTGACCCTATTGTAAACCTTATCGAAGGCACTCATAGGATCGAACACCGAGGGAGACCGAGCAATTGCGATAAAGTCGTCTAGGTAATGATTGATATAGAATGCAGGAAGAAGGCATTGGAGTATCCAATGGAGTGCCTCAGCGAAGAGGTTGAAGAGAAATAGGGCCGTTGCCAGGCCAAAGGGGAGACAGCACTCGACGTAAGTGGAATCGTTCCACTGGAAGGCAAGGAGATGCTGGTTGTCCTCGGCAACAGGGACTATTCGGAAGGCGTCTTTGATATCCCTCTTGATTATTACGCAGCCTAGCCCAGCTTGTATAACTTGCTCATAGATATTATCGATTGTCATGTATTCAATAGCTGACCAGGAGTCTGGTATGCCCTGGTTAAGGCCTTGTCCAGGGGGCCAAGAGAGATCATGGATGCGGCGCCAACCCCCATCGTGCTTAGGGACTAACCCAAGCGGCGAAACGAAGGAAGGCCCAGAGGCTAGTCTAACACGACCGAGGTTGAGGTCGTCTGCTAGTTTAGCCGTGATCATGCCAGGTTCGTGTATATGATGGTTAGAAGAACAGCGAAACTGCTTCTTGCCCCTATAGCCAACCTGGACACCGTAGGTCAGGATGCCAGTGATAGTGGGCCCGAGACCGCCTGGATAGTAGCGTAGAAGATTGCTCCAGGCTTTCGCATATAGTGGTGATGGAGAGGACTGTAACCTCGGCAGCTCCGGGTTGAAAACGGGGTATTGAACAGCAGTATTTGGTCTAGATGGTTGCCCCTGCGGTATGAAGCTTAAGGATAAGGGATTAAGAACGACGCCATTGTTCTTAAGGGCTGTCACTTGCTACTTCTTCTTGCGGCAGGAGGAGGCGCCATGCTCGCTTAGGCCACATGCCGTACACTCATGACGTCTCTTGCAGCCTTCCCAGGAGCACCCTGTCGTATTGAACTTATCGCAAACCTCTGACTCATTGTTCGAAGATCTGGTATTCCTGGCTTGACGAGGCCGTGTTGGGGGGGTTTGTTGGTGACTTCGCAGGTAGGGTGAGATTGTGGCGGAGATATTTCTCGCGGAATGGGCCTGTGACTAGGTAGTTTTCCGTCGATAGTTCTCCTTTATCCAGTATATATTGGTGGAAATTAAGGGCAAGGGGGAGTACTGCTTCCGACCACTGATAAGTCTGGGCGAAGTCCAGGATCTGCCTCATAAACATGAGTAGGTTGGGAACTGCCTTAGGATGTTTCTCGCCGAAGAGGTATCCTACAACGGCCAGATAGGCAAGAAAGCAGGTCGTCCATATTTGAGGGTTAGGGCCCCAATCCTTAAGCGACGCTGCCGCCTTTTTGAAGCCCACTGTGCCTCCCGACTCAGTCATGTTAAAGACTCTGTCCTCCTGATCTAGCTCAGTGACTGACTTCTCTTTGAAGCGTATAAGTTCAGTCGCCTTGAGTTTCCTCTCGAAGACGCGAGTAAGAAGGGCGGCGGAGACACCCAGAAATATGTCGATGGGTGGTTTGACGTTAGGGGGTGGCTCACGGTTTTCCTCGAGATTATCATCATCTTGCAGGTCCAATCGAGGCCTTCTGCGGCGGAGATCGGTCTCCGCTACATCCAATTCAAGGCGTCTAGCCCTGTCTCTCTGTATTTGCCCCTAACCAACTGGCACGGTCTGCCGCACCCATGGATTCCCAAATGTGGGCCGGCGGCCAAGCGGAGTCGAGCGGGGCAGGAGTGACACTGCTGGACTGGCTGAAGGTCATGGTGGAGAGCGATATAGTCAAGGCTTATCGGTGCTGTTGTCGAAGGGAAGGACATGAAACAAAATCAAGACTTGACTGCGTGAGAGATGACGAGCTGCCCGCAGAGGCATAGATCTGACTCTCGTGAAGCAGTTGTGGGAGGAAGAGGCCCTCAGTAATGTCGGTGTAGATATCACGTGAGGCTACAGGCATTGTGAGGCAACCCCAATAAAACCACTCCCTTTAACCTCGGGCATTCGCCGGCGCTAGAGGAGCCCGTCCATTTCCAAGTCGGCTTCGGAGTCTACCTGCCGCCTCTCTCTCACCATCGAACCATTGACCCCCATGCCAGTCTCTATCAACCCTTCTGCCATTGAACAATACAGCAATTACACCCGGGGCGGTGGTCATAGTCCCCAAAACTACGCAGAGCTCGAGTGATGAGGGGTCACAATACTCGCCGTACCACGGCCAGAGGATTAAGCTAGAAGAGCTCGAGGCAGCGGTCCAGTCGATCAAGCAACGGAAGGAAAGTTCACCAGAGAGGATGGGCCCCGCTGACAAGCTGGAAACGGAGGCTCGATCTTCATCGAGTCAACCATCACCAGCCCAGAAGGTCAAGCTCAACCACTGGCGGCCGTCCGAAGACTCCCGGAAGATCACTCACGCGCGGTCATTTACTGAAATAGCAATGGAGGAGTTGAAGGGAGAGGGCGCACTGACCGGCGACCCGGACAACAGGGACGCACAGTTACCCAAGCCGCCGATGGTGAGAAAGAAGTCTGGCGAGCTGGTCCAGCCAATTCTTCGACTTACACCGGTACGCTGACAACCGTCCAGCATAGCGAGGACTCTGGCCGATGGCAAGGCAGTGCAATTCGACTCTCAGTTGGAACACATTCGTCACTTCTTACAGCTTGATCGACCTCTGGCGGTCAGTGCCGAGACATCCCCGGTCCACAGTCATGATGCCGATAGAGAGTTTCCTTTCGGTCAAGATGAGGACGAGTTGACGTCGGAGTGGGAGTGGGAGCTCCAGCTGTCCAACTTCCCCAAGGACATGTCGTCTCGTGCCACTAATCCCGTTTGCTTGGAGAAATTGTTCCTGTCAGCTGACAAGAACGTCTTGATTGGTTCGGTGACTGTGGCCAACCTTGCCTTCCACAAATACGTGGCCGCTCACTTCACGTTCGATTATTGGAGGACTGTGTCGGAAGTGGGCGCTGTGTTCTGCCACGATGTTCGCTGCAAGCATGCCCACGATGAGTACGATCGGTTCTCGTTCGAAATCAAGTTGAACGACCAGACCAACCTGGAGAGCAATATCATGTTTGTCTGCATTCGCTATAATGTCAACGGGCAGGAGTTCTGGGACAACAACAACGGGATGAATTTCCGAGTCGATTTCCTCAAATCCCCGAAGACCACTGCGAGCAAGTCGTCAGGTGGAGACCGTACTTCTATGAACAGCTCACACACTGCGCATCTACACTCTGATGATTCCCCGCATATCACCAAAAACACCCCCTTCTCCAACCCGTTTGCCGCCACAAAGGAAACCTCCTTGAGTGGGACTTCCTCGGATGATATTGATACCGCCGAACTACCCAAGCGCTGCGAAAATCCGCACCGGCAGGCGTTCCGTAACCGCTATGACTTTGGGGCTTCGCTGGCAGCTGCCATGCGGACAAAGTCTCCCCTGGACCGAACCACCCTGACCGCACGGGAACGGTCAGAACATACCTCGGATGTTGCCACACCCCGGATGGCTGAGAGAGACCTGAAGACTACACCAGCTCAGGCTTCTCCCGTGAGCGATGCCGCCCGAAAGGAGGATCTAGAGCCTTTCTCATTGGTATCCAGCAAACCGTGCCTCGAGTCCTCGTTGTACAACGAGCTGGTTGATAAGTACTGCTTTGTAAGTTGTCTTGCGTTGTCGGCGATCCCTACAGTCCACTAACGCAGCTTTGTAGTATAGTTCTTCGAAATCCTCAAACCAGAAGCCACAAAGCTCTGCGGTGAATGGTGAAGAGCCTTCGAAGGATTCCGAGAATTTCGCCTCGAGCGCTCTCTCACCACTTCTTTCTCCGCTCTCTCTAGCCCCTGTAACACCTCTTGCGACTGAAACTCCTCGTGAATCCCATCCTTCGTCGCTGTCACCATCGTTTTTGTCGGCGTCGTTGATCCCTCGAGCCTCCCCACAAGCCTCGCCTTCTCCTATGCTCTTCCGCTACAACTACCTCCAACCATGGCAAAACGGATTCCCGAAAGACCCTCGGTCATTGCCAGCTATTCGAGGGTGAGAGCTATTATGAATTCTCAGTACCTGTCACAGAATCCGGCTGCTATCTTCCGCGCTACGTCTTTCGTGCAAAGTGTTGAAGAATTCGTTAGGTTTGAATAAACTACGCGCCTCATACTTTCGGATGGACACCGAGTAAATCGTCTCTTTAATTTTGGGGTTTCATTTTCTTTTTCTTAGGCAAGGTTTATTTCCATTGATATGCATTTTTTTAAGCCCGGTCCTCCCCTATCCTGCTATCGTATCAACTTAAAGCCCTGCCAGCGCCCGAAACCAGAGAACTTACGTAGCACAACCATTTTACGAACAGCCTTTCGTTACACTTTGCCTCGGTCGAATAGAGAACCTACGAGACGCTACCATTTCAACTCACCGTAAAATTTCTTATGTGAATGTATGAATCATACGTAGTAAACTTGAGATTCTAGGGACTAATCTGGACCAAACAGGTTAGTAAATTTGGAGGAGCTCAATAACATTACATATATTCAAATTAGAATATAGAGCTTAGAATATAGTCACCTATCCCGCCACTTTGCTTGATCCTTACACTATTTGTTGTGAATGTCATACATGTCCCATCTAGCTTGAAGTGGCCACGCTGGAGTAGACCTCGCCAAACGCGGGTTTGGGTTGGGTTTGCAATCTCTTTACCCGCCAACGGGCTTGTATACAAGGTACACCTCTCAGAATCCAGAACCCTCACAGAGAAATTGCAGTGGCAGGATTCCTCCATCTGCGGGACTTATCGAAGGTCTGCTCAGACTCCTTTAGTTCGTAATATGCTCGCGTGGATACTGACTCGCAGTGCAAAGACTCAGTGGAAGCACTTTGCCGATGTTCTCTTTCCTTGTCTTGTGTTGACATTAGAGCATCGAAATCAATCGGCTCTGGTAATGGAAGTTGTTCCGAGATATCAAAGGAGTCTGCACTCAGCTTGGATATTGGAGATGGCATCGAGACACCGCGCGTATTATGAAACAGCAGCAGTGTTCAGATCTCTCAGGGAGAGAAGCTTTCTTTTGACCTCTAGCTGGTAGGTGTATCGATCATTCTCTGGCTCGCTGGCAATCATCGTTCCGATCGCCAGGGTGGCATTTTCAACCTGAATGAGCTCATGAGCACCGCTAGCTGTGGTGGCTGTTGTCATTTCCATGTCGAAATCTGATCAATCTAATGAATTTGATGTGGAAAACCTGATAACTGATGCTGGAAATCACACGCATTTATTTCGGCCGAAAAACCCTCATTTTTAACATGTTGCGATATTAAAGAGAGAGGGGGAACATGCTAAGACTGCGGGCTATTGGTTGGACAACAGCCAGTAGTCAATCAAACGACATAATCAATCTATTAATCAACCAGTCAAAAGAATCAAATAACCACCAATGCATCTGCCTAGCAGCCAAAAAGCCTACACTAGGTACCTCATGGAGATAGGGACCTCTCCACCAGCCACATTCCCTACGAACGCTATTCACCTATCAATAAATATTAATATCCAGGCCTCGAAAAGCTTGAAGCAGCAGCAAACAAATACTAGAAACCATAAAGACATCTGGAAACCTCCCCATAGCCCAGTTACACTGCACCGACCATAAACCTTTCCAGACTAGACGCATGAAGATCGCACACAGGATCAACCAGTAAAAGCCAGCGATTCTGTATGAGCCCCACGCGAACTTCTCCGTGAGATAGCACTGAATTTTCGCGACTCGGTACGTTTTGCGCATAGTTTTAGAGCATTGATCGTCGGTGAAGTCGTCCATGAACGATCCGCACCCTAGGTTGTTAGGCCACGAGAAGTAGCTTGCAGATGGAGAGTATTCTCGGCGGGTGTTAGTCATAAGCTTCGGCCCAATCAACCTCTGCAGAAGAACTAGATCGGAAATCCATATGCGTTGAGATATCGGATCTGAGATTTGGGGGTCGCTCTCGAGCTCGGCCGCGAAGCCAGACTGGGCATCGGGATATTTCAAAATGTTTGTGTAGAACTTTGGGGTGAGAGGCTGTATCATCAGCACTGGGGGCGGAGCTAATGTGAGGGTCTTCACTGGAGAATGCATAGAGATAGGTTGGAGGCCGAGGGATTTCGCAGGTGTGTACACCACTTCCAGAGGGATTTGACATTGATTGACCATGCTCGAGAGGTACATTCGGAAAAATGTTTCCAAAACCCTGTCATCAAAGAGTCAACTTGCAGAAAATGGACACAATGTGCTAAAGAATATACCTTTCTGGCTTTGATGCCTTGCGTGGAATATTGTTCTTCTTCACATCTGGTTTGTTCAGATACAGCATATTGCCTCGAAACCGAATTCGAAGAGCCTCCACCACGATCCGTCCTATGGACGCCGGAATGACAAATGACCAGCTGAGTAGGAACTTGGTCAGTCCCCAGGATGAGGCTGACAAAGGGTCAAAAGGCGGGCTGCATGAAAACAAGCGACTAGACACTTTGGGCTTGCCCTCTATGCTCATTAGAGTCATGTTGGAATGAAGTGGGCCTCCTTTCTCAGGCGACGGATCAAGAGGATCCATGAATCGCAAGTTGAACCAGCCCTCAACTTTTTCGAATGGTGATGCAAATATATCTTTGTCCCAGCTGCCCTTATAATATTTGGCATTGGGTGCAGACGACACAAATCGAACAGCTTGGATGCCTGCGTCACCCGTTCCCAACGCAGTGCTAATAATTTGCGAAGTTTTCTTCTTTTCAAAGCAGAAGTTCTCTTCTCGGATCAATCGACAAAAGGCGTTCTTTTTCTCCCCGTATGAGTTGTTGATTTCCATAATTATGGCGCTGAGTTCTTTGGAAGAAGAGTAGAGATACCAGTAGGATATTGGGCTTTTAGTCCACCAGCAGAACTGGGGAATTCCGATGAGATATGCGTAAGGATAATTGGATATATCCTCGCCCTGGGAAGATCAGACCTGGATATGAGTTTCTTTGATCTGGATTGCACGTACCCGTTCCTTCAAGAAGATCTCCAATTTTTGAGTCAGGCTCATATGGCCGTCTCCACGATGAAGATATTGGCTCGTGTCTATGCCGAACCAAGCAAACTTTCGGAAGAGTTGTTGAGTGAAGTTTTGAAAATAGGTGGCTGGAGATTGTTGATCTGATCTATCGCTGTCAATGGTCATCAATGCGCCGACTCGAGCACGTAATCCAACCGGAGTTCCAACGAGGAAGTAGTTGATTCCATAGTTATACCTCTCAGGGAACATTCTCGCATGCGTAAGCTGTGATGGGAAGAACAGAGGTCTTCCTAAAAAAAAATTTCTCCTGGGTTGGGTCATCCTGACAGAATAAAATTAACTTTCGCCGAGCGTATGCTACTATGAATGCCCAGATGAGGACAATAGTAGCAACAACAAGAAGAGATATGGGCATAAACACCCTGAAAACCCTCAACCAGCCAACAGTATTAAGAAAGTCAACTGAAACAAGAGAAACAATGACAAGGATATGCTTGATTGAGGAAGTAGGATTGGAACGAAATGATTGGAGAAAGCCCAGAAGGCTTGAAAATGCGACAATCATGGCAGCCAAGGATTGATAGAACATATAGGGGGGCATATTAATTTCAGACATGACCAGAACTTTTCACTCGATAAGTGTTTTGCTTGGAATAAAGTCTGACCTTGATGCTTATGTATGTTGCACCGACTAGGTATGTCGTCAGCTAAGTCTATTTTTGGATGACAACATCAGGCGTTTTATTTTGCCGCCTTCATCCACTATAAAGTTAGAAACTGGTTGAAGATGTTCATCGTTGTGCAATTCGCCAGTTTGGGAAATATCCCCGCCCTGGAAAGAGACTGACGTACACATTTCCGGGGCTGACTCATACCTCTGAGATATAGATCATTGGCTGGGAATATTTTTCCGAGGATAGTTTTCAAAATATGACCCACACCGCATCTACACATAGATAATGATAACGAAGCATCAGGGCAACTATTCATGGGTGTAGAGTTTCAATCAATGACTCGTCATAGATGTGAGCTGTGTAACCTCGGCATACAGATGAAATGACCTAAATTGTAAACCTGCAGCGAGCCATGCTGTGTCAAGACACCACTTCATGGTTATCATTCCCAAGGGATGTTGATATTCAATCGATCATTTCTCATTAAAGCGAGCTGTGTAACGTCGGCATACAGATGAAATGGCCTAAATTGGAAACCTGCAGCGAGTCATGCTGTCGTCAAGAAACCACTTCATGATCATTCTCAAAGGATGTCGAGTTTCAATCGATCATTTCTCATTAAAGCGAGCTGTGTAACCTCGGCATACAGATGAAATGGCCTAAATTGGAAACCTGCAGCGAGCCATGCTGTGTCAAGACACCACTTCATGGTTATCATTCCCAAGGGATGTTGATATTCAATCGTTCACTGGTGATCAAGGAGCTTGTGTAACCCCGATATACAAACACAAAGACCTCAAGTCTAGGCTTCTGAGTTATCGTCGATTGTCGATCAATGGTGAGTACCTCCCCTAGATACCTGGGCAGTGGGTAATTTCAAGCTTGAAAGTTATATATTTGACAAAGGAAGGGCGCTGGGTACGAATTCGGTCAAACAGCAAGCTACAATCTTTATTCTCTTAATGGCTTCTTGCGCGAATAGACCTTTTACCAAGGTGGCTATCATTGGAGCCGGCTTTTCTGGACTGGCTACGGCATGTCTGCTTCAAAAAAAGCTCAATTGCGATGACTATGTCATCTACGACCGTTCTCTGGCACCAGGGGGAGCTTGGTGGGCAAACAAATGTTCCTATACTTCACTCCATCAAGCATTCTGAACAAAGGAGACTAACAAAATGAAAAAGACCCAGGATGCGCCGTCGATATCCCAGCTGTTTTCTATAGCCTGTCTTTTGCCCCAAATCGGAGTTCTCCAAAGTTTTCCCCTCGCAGGCTGAGATCTTGGAATACTTCAACTGCGTTGCGGCAAAGTTCGATGTGTCTCGACATATCGTTGTTAACACGGAGTGGGAGGGAGCTTGCTGGCAAGAGTTGACCAATACCTGGCTTGTAAAGCTGAGGGATATATCTACAGGTGAAACTTATTACCAGGAATGCAAAATACTCATCTCCGCTGTAGGAGGACTGGTAAATCCCAATTATTTTGACGTTACTGGGATCGAAGACTTCCAAGGTGACATATTTCACACCGCACGTTGGAGGCCGGAGATATCACTTCGCCAGAAGAATGTCATTGTCGTTGGAAATGGATGTGAGCCACAAAGCCTCCTATCAACTAAAATGATGCTGATTTAATCTCAGGCTCGGCCAGCCAGCTCGTTCCGACAATCGTTGAGGATGCGAAAAACATCTCCCAATTCATCCGGGTATGTAGCTCCTCAGACTTAAGGAGGTAGCACAGTCCTGACATTGCTAGACACCACAATATTATCTGCGAAACGAAAACATGGAGATAAATGGCAAGTGGAGGTTTTTTTTCCGCTATGTGCCTGGTGCTCTATTTTTCTTTAGGATACTTGTGTTCCTCTTCCTAGAGAGCACTGCTGTCCGGTTCAATGTGACAGGGGATGGCCTGAGGGCCAGGGACCAATCGGCAGAGAGAAGCAGAGCCTACATTCGTGAGACTGCTCCTGGTATGTAAGCTTATAGTCGTTGTTCTGTCTGCACTCTACTTACTATTATCGGATTGAAGAGAAATATTGGTCTCTACTTATGCCAAAGTATGAAATCGGATGCAAAGTAAGTATTCTCGTTTCGCAGCTTAGATAGCACACTAATTCTACAAAATTAGCGATGAGTATTCGACAACTGCAAATATGTCAGTTGTCTTCAACGAAGCAATGTTCATCTCACCGACGATCCGATTACTGCGCTCCGGCCTCGCTCAATATTGACGAAGTCAGGCCGCGAATACCCTGCAGACACCATTGTAGGCATTCCTATCGCCAGTGATAATTATGACAGCCCCCGTAAAGTTTCGCTCAAAGCTAACCTATTTTTTAACACTGAAAATAGATCCTTGCAACCGGTTTCTCTCTGACACAGTATGATGTAGAGTTGATAGGTCGAAATGGCCGTACCCGATCCGAGCACTGGAATGACTTTGGCTACAAGGAGGCCTACAAGTCTATTGCCATGTGTCAATTTCCCAATTTCTTTTACGTCCTAGGACCTAACTCCGGCAAAAGTCATACTTCTACCATCTACTCGATTGAGAAGTAAGTCATGCGTGACTGCAACTGTCCTTTGCATCATGTCTTACTAAACCTTGTCTAGCTACGTCGATCTTATCATACAGGTAATTGCACCGGTAGTGCACGACCAGTCTTCTTTCGTAGAAGTCAAGACCAAAAGTGAGAAAAATTACAATGTGATACTTCATGACGCGATCGGAAAGACCATCTTCAACAATTCCTGCTTCAGTGTGTGTGTTAACCATAGCTCTATGAAAAGTCATCAGTACCTAACACCATATTTGTGGCAGTATTTTATCGACCAAACCACTCAGAAGAACTGGTTTGTTTACCCGTGGAGCTCCTTCGACATGTGGTATGACACACACTTTGGATTTTCAAACGACTGGATCTACGAGGTAAGTGGATTCTTTGTAAAAGCTATGGAATCAAGCTATATGGTACCTTTTCTAAAAAAATCAAAAAAATTTTCAGCCTCAACCTGATAGAAAGAAGCCGCTCCTCTTCTCTACAATTTTACCCATGGTACCTGTGGTGCTAATTGTAATGTTGATTTCATGTTTGATCAAGAGTGGTACCGTGGGAAACATGGTGCTCGAAGGCATGTTCGATGGCACGTTGACGAAGATCTTTTGACGAGGCTTTTGGCCTGGTGAGCCAGAGCTTTTATTCCAGTCCGGATGAATCTAAAAAGCAGAGTGGGTGGAAAGCGGTTACTAGATCATCGAGCACTTGTTCAGAGTTATGAAGTTATTCGAATAAATCGTCTTGCCTTTGCTTGTGCTTTAGCGACATAAAACAAAGAAATAGTCCACCTGTTGAAGATGCTGCTGCTGTAATAAACTCTGATATGCGAGACGAAGACAAGTAGTTAGTTAGTTAACTAACTAATTGCCATGTCACAATGCCAAATCTCTTAGTAATCAAGGAGGTTGCGAATCAAGAGAGTAAGAAATATTGGGAGCATGACTGGTCGCCGACCAGTCGGGATCTTACCCGTATTATACAGTAAATTATATTATTCCAAAACATGCCTCTATCTTCAGCTTGAACCCCATCTGCAGCGAAACTGAATATAGTCTATATCGGCGAACACCAAAAAAAAAATAAAAAGAAATTCACCCCTCCCGATCTAACTCACACCAACCACCACGTGCCAGAGCCGGTAGACGCGCTTCAACTGCCGAAATAGGATGTTGAACACTTGAAAAAGCGCCTTCAAGTAAGTCTACTCACCAAATACTAACCCACAAGGACCCGCTAAGATATTGACTCGACATCTGAGATGACATATACTTATAGGAATCCTGTACGGGCTTCAAGAAGGCACAGTATTAGCTAGAACATGCATTTTTAGATCACTTATAGTTGCCTTTTCGGTTCAGCCGCCGGGCGCTAATAAATTGTGTGTGTGTGTGTGTGTGTGTGTGTGTGTGTGTAGTAGTCAGTAAGTTAGCCTACATATATTCTGTTTGCAGACAAGTACTACTGTGCTTGCGACCTATGAAAAGTAGAAGAGAATTACTGATCCGAACATTTTATGATTGACAATCGTGAGAATATCAAGAGTTTTAACATAGGAAACCTTATTTGACGCATCCCCAGGGGATTCCCGCACAACGAACGTCCTCAGGGCCCCCATCAACCCGGCCAAACTGTACTCACCGCTGCGACCGCCGGGTCCGTGCCGTCTTCTGCTCCGGCTCATCTGGCGTATGAAGCAGGTCACTTTTCGTTCTCTCCTCTGCTTCCGTTTCGATAACCTCCAGTCGGCGGAGAAGGTCTGCTAGATCCCTGCGGATATCTTCGATGCACGTACTTTGGTCTGTCACTTTACTATCTAGGGACCTAGACTCCGATCAGCTCTTTGTTCTTTGTTTATAGAAACGTACAACTAACTTCACCCGCACATCTAGCCTTGAGATGTCCCTTTTGTTAGAAAGAATGTTATTTTCACGGTAATGGGATCACCAGTACTAACTCTGCGAGGCATTTGAGAGTGAGCACGTTGCTGTCCCAGGGCTGAGACCCGTGTCCGCCGTATTGAGGAGTTGGTAGCACCCTGTGCTCGTGGTTACTGGGAGGATCGCCCTGTTGCGGAACAACTTGGTCATTCTTGTTCGAGTGGGTCGATGGCTCTTCCTCGGTGGTGTCTCCAGACAGAGATTTAGATGGGCTGCGGCTGTATTCGGACTCCGAGGATGACAAGGACAGTGCGCGCTGCAATCGACGTCGGAAGTCTGGCTTCTGCCGAGTACGTGAGGTTTTTCGAATGGCTCCCATAGTCGTGTATCAAATCAGCGAGGTGCTGCGGACAAATAGACCTGTTTGAAAAGTATGACGGGAGTGGCTCTTGTATGATTCGTGACGGGTGTGAGACTCTACATGTGTGGAAATAGATCCGGCAAGCAAATACCCGCAGTGGAAGACGCCGTTGCCCTGAGCCTACGCCAGCCATATCTGGTCTCATATTTTGGATAAAAGTCAAAGAAGCGGGGCGCAATAAGCAATTGGCAACACTTCAACGGGTTTTCAACGGGACAAACGTTGACTAACAAACTGTCTGTACGAATTGGATATCCCAAGCCACGGCTCACGGAAACTTGGCTTCGCGGTTGGACTCGCAAGTCCGCACCCAGCGAAAGGTGCAGCTTAGCTGTCACTTTCAACGTATCCTGCTAGAAAAAGATTCATCTGCGTGCACATCGGGCTGGCTAAGCTCGGGCCATTCTAGCAGGGATCAATCGAGCTGATGATTTAATTGAGAATCCATTCATTTAGTGCCTATATTAGATAAATGTAGTGAAAGGGTAGATGCACGTCCAAAATTGGGAGCACGCCTCGAGGCAGCTACCATTGCAAATTCTACAAACACAAGTTCGAGGCTATGGGCAATCGATTTGCCAGAGCCAGTCCATTCTTTCGAACTAGTCAGCCAAGTTGAAGTTGTTTCACCTTTGTCAACAACGTTGAGGCATTTTATTTGTCAGGCCTAGACCCAGGAGAGCCAAGGGTCCAGGTGGGGCGTGCCACTCCACCCGCTCTCTCCGCCCCGAACTCTTGAAATTTCTTATTTCAACGTTGATAAACCGCCTCAACGCCCTACGAAAATGCGGCCGCCCGGTACGAATGTCGAGTGAAATCTCTGGGTCCGGCAAAATGTACGCAAGTGGTCGCTGCCAAAACCCCTACTCAGAATGGCATAAAAGACGCTCTTTTCTGGTCGAAAAGAAAAGCAGGACTTTCCTCCTCACACTCCCGAGCACCCGGGTGTTCTTCGCAGGATCAGATCTGCGTTACCAAAAAGTCTTCGCGGGAAAGGCCCCGCGTAATCAAGTTTGCCTCGCAGGGTCCGCTGCGTTACCAAGGGAGACCCGCTGGAGAGTGCTGCGTCAAAAAGTTCTCCCTCACAGCCTTGAGCCCTGTGATTGTATAATCTTGAGCTTCCATGCAGCCTTGAGCCCTGCGTTATCAAATTTGCGCTCATTAGGCGACCCATGGCGCCGCGGTCCTCGTCCTGATCCTCTGGCCATTGCAGGCACCTCTTCGTGGTGTCCGAGACTAGTATTCGGGGGAGTCCTCGAAGAAGCCAAGACCTGCTCCAAAGAATCAATAGAATCAAGAATCATCCAGTATACTTTGTGTCATGCCTTTCAGCCTGTTTGTAGAGTTCAATAGCCAGGTCCCTGGGTCGCGTAAAGTTTTATGTAGCCTTGAATCACGCCTTGTCTTTCGATAATGGGCATTTTCTTCAACATACTGCGAAGAGGAGCACTGAGTCATCGGGCCAGTGGGGATCTCAGTGTATGATAGCTGAGTGGCCGATCTGGGCGACGCGTGCAATCCAAAGTAGGCTCCATTTGTGAATGCGTGTCTTGAGGCAGAATTTGTCTCGACGTGGTGAAATGCGGGCTTTCGACAGTGAGTAGGTAGTGTTGGCGTGCTGATGAAGGCGTCTTGATGTTGAGGACACGTTGATGGTGAGGACACGTTGATGGTAAGGGCTGGCGATGAGGGCCGGAGGTGAGTGACAGTTGAGAGTTGGTGACATATCGATGGGAACCAGTGGGTCAACAAATTGATTTGCGGCGCGGCGTAACTGCCGAGCGGTGAAGTGGCTGCCAACGGTGACTACCCATCGCCGTTACCGTGGGATCTTCGTTGGCTCACCAAGGATGTAAAAGATGATAGACGGTGAAACATGATGCAGTTCATTAACAGGAATCTGTCATTACACCAGATCGCAATGTAGTTAGTTATCTGCGGATAGTCTTTTCTTCAAATCTCGACTATGAGCTTGGAGTTGCGTGGTGCAATCAACATTGGTGACCACTTCAAAAATATTAGAGGGTACACCATGTACATCTATTGACGACAGATTGAATCATTATCTCACTCGGGTCGCTCTTCTACGTGGCTTGAGCTTCGTCGCATACTCTTTGGTGGTACACAGCTCTTAGGGAATGTCGACAAATGATCATTATGTGCGTAATATATATCCTCAGATGCGCACGTATATGGTAGCAGTAGAATTGGAAAACCATCAGAATGTCAGCGATTCAAGTCCGTTCTTCCGGCCCTCTTTTCGAATATCATATTACATACGACTTTTCTACCAGTTATCACAAACGCACCTGGCATCCTTCGAGTAATCACTGAGCAGTTGCGACCGCTGCGGCAGTCGAACGATCGTAATTTACGACGCTCGTCCGCTGGTAAATTCGTGCCGTTCGGGGTTGACATTATGGGGAGAGCATTCGACTGGCTTGCAGCCACCTTTGGGAGGGAAAAATTGTCTTCATATCAGCGGTTTGGCAAAAAGGTCAGTTATCCCCAACCTCCAGCCTTGAGAACGTACCATTTCCTTTGTTCATCGTATAGGCCACGGGGGGAAGCTTTGAATGCCATCTGCATCGGCCACAGGCAAATAGATTCCCTTTGGAGATACTCGATCTAGCACCAATTGTTAGCAATTGGCGCAAGATGGGTGTTCGCAACTGACCGCCACTGACCATGCTTGCGGCCTATAGAGAATGCCAACACCAGCCACAATACACTATCCCAACCGGACTTGTAGGGACAGCCGAAGCTGTGCTACGTTTCACTACTTCTCCATATCAGCAAGACTTCTGGTGGCTAAGGGTGGTACAGACTTGCCATTAATGTAGTTTGGGATCAGCGACAGCCAACCAGAGATGTAGCGGGCTCAGCTCGATGACATCTGGAGGGCCCAGGATCACTCCGTATTGCTGCAAATGAATGTTGGCACTATCTGCGAATGCATAGCTGTTTCGTCTCTGCTTTTCGTGTGAGAGGTCAATCTTCAAACGTGTCAGGACAAAGTTTCACCGAAGGAGAGGTTCATGGTATTTGGTCTGGGGCGAAGTAGTAGCTGACCTGAAAGCGACTGTTCTCATGGGGAGGGATATGGGATAGATCCAGTGCTGCGACCTGGCCTGTCGCTTACTGAGCTGCAATCAGGGCTTGGCAGAGCTGGCCTCAGGCTCGATTCATTGCTGGTTTATCTTACACCCGGAGAAAAGAAACCATGGTCTTTCTTGGTGGCCGTCGATGCTAGACTTCTCTTCGTCGGAAGCTGCAATGGCTCACTCAGTCGAGTATGGGACCGGGTTATG